CCGGCCCTTCACAAGTATGAACTTACTTTTCACAGATATGTCACTGCGAAGGCACTTGAATCATCGTTAGTTCTTCAAATGTCAAACGGAGATCATGATATCGCTCTGGATCTTGCAATTGATGCGAAAGAGTTTCTGGATCAGATGCCACTGGAGCAGAAGAAATATTACGAAAGTTTGGAGATTCATGAGAGGAAATTCACATCGATTTGGGTTCATACTCGATGCTGCGGACATGCAACGAGCGTGCTGGAGAAGCAGAAGAAGTATGGAATGGCTGTTGAATGGCAGAAGGATTTGTTGATTACTAATAGTGAGTGAATCAGTTTAATTTGATAATTTAAATTATATATTTTTCAGAAGATGTTCAATCGTGCTGCCTCGATTCCCGCGGAATGTGGTGGGATCGGATGCTGCTCAATTTGGACTCACATTTAAAAGTAAGTGTTTTTCCTTCTTATTCTCAAACGAAAAAACGATTTTTTCAGGAAAAGACGGAGTGTGCGAAAATGATCCAAATCGCTCTCACCGATTCATCAATTCTCGAGAAAGAGCTTCTATCAATCCAAGATCGAGCATTAAAACTCAAAGAGATGCCACCTGACTTCCGACCTCCTCTCAACATTGGAACCCCAATGAAACGAGTGATCACCGCAAGAACTATATCAAAAAGTTTGGGAGACGGGCGAGTCAACCGATTTGTATTTCGGGATGAGGAGAAAGAAGAAGACGTGGAGTGTTCCGTAGAAGAAGCAGCCAGAAGGTGGTACATTGAAAACGACGAATTCACGACTGGTGTTCACGATGAAGGTGCCACGTGGCATACCTTATTCGGACTCCTTTTCTATGACATCATCTTCTGCACAGATGCGGTTATGGCATCAGTGTGGCACAGTGAAGTGCAAGACTGTCCATCTGATTTGAGCAATACTTTATATTTGAAGAGAAAAGAGAAATTTGAGGAACGATTCGAATGGTTGAAAGATGCTGATCAGGAAACGATAGAAGATAACATCCGGAGAATATGGGGAATGAAACAAAACGAGACGAATCGAGAGTGTTCATGGAAACACTTCCAGTCTGGAATTGAAGATTGTGTGGTTGGTTTCAAAGTTCTTCTGTTCAATTTCTAGTAACATTTTTATTTTAGAGTATCTTCCAATGCATCCCTCGTCCTGCCATGCTTTCAATCTTCCGACGACTCGCGGAGAACTATCGAAACTCCAGATCTGGATTCCCTGATCTCACTCTCTGGAATCCCGAAAAGAAAACAGTTGCAGTCATCGAAGTGAAAGGGCCTGGAGACCGTCTGTCCACGAAACAACGTCTTTGGTTATCGTTTTTCGCTGATAACGGAATCAAAGCAGAAGTGTGTCATGTTGAAGCACAAAACTCAAGACTGCTGGTTTAGGAATATTCACTTATACTGTTTTTTACTGGTTTTATATTTATCATATCCCTGTGAAATAGGTACATAAATCTTTAAGAACTTTAATATTTATTACCTCCCTCAAATTTCGAATAGGGAAAGCAGGCGAAAAATGCATTTGGTTTTTCTTTTAAGGCGAGCTGAACGAAGAAGCAGGATGGAAGTGATCGAATGATACAAGCAGCGGGAGGTTCGAAAAGAGAATACTGGAAGAAATTGAGCTGAACAGAGAGCAATAGACTGGTAAAATCGAAAGAAACTACTTGCCATCGGGGGAAACGGGTTTTGTACAGACTAGTAGAGAGCACAGAAAGTTTGGAATTTTGGGGTTTCAAAAAGTCAAGGAATCGGGGCATGGGATACATGTAAAGCGGAAGAGAGGTGCAAAGAAATATAAACATATGTGTGAAGTGTGCGTGAGTCGATTATCAAACTAGCGAACTGTATCTATCTGATCTATCGGACGGGGCATTGTTCGTTGAGACGGGCGAACGCCATCTCCGAGATTCCGTAATAATGAACGAATGCCGCGATGACAACGCAAGTGTGAAAGAGTTGATGGGATTGGAACTGAAAAAAGAAGCTTATCAGTGTACAAAAAGTGGGAATCTTACCCAAATGTCACATTTTCCTGGGAAAAATCTTTCTGGGGTTCGCGTGGCGTAGAGAGCCGCACCGAGAAGGTAGAGGAATGCCATCAGAAGTAGCCAATGGAACGAGTTGTCGGCAAACAGAGAGTGAACACCATCGGTTATAATGTAGTGGATGGTTGGGATCACACCTGAAAAGTCGAATGAAAATAGGAAATAACGTTTTCATTGCTTACCACTACAACCCATTCCAACAAAGACTGCAGCTCTCACGGGACGATACTTCGATTCACTGAACTTATCCCACAACGAGACGACTATAGCACCGATTCCCAACACACAAACCATTGCGATATATGTGATTTTAGGTTCTCGCCGACAATAGAATCCATAGTATATCCACGGAATAAACGAGCCGATAATGAGCAACGAGATTCCCATATAGTCGAGTTTGCAGAATATCTTGACGACGTTGACCGAATGACACGAGAGGGTGTGGAAGGCGAACGAGAGTCCGAGACAGAAACGGCACCAGCGAAGAAGAAAGAGAACACAACCTTCTCTTGGAATTGAATATGATTGTCAGGTCGGGTAAGGAACCAACAGGCAAGCAAGAAGAAAGCCACGCAACCGATGAGATGGGTCCAAATGTTTCCAGTTTCCGTGTGAAGCGACCAGATACTCTTGAAGCACTCTGCGAACGATGGAAGTGGTGGACGATGGCCGTGTCTGAATTGTAATCGATTGGAAACCATTTTATATGTTAAAGTTATTACCTTAAAAATTCGTTATCCTGGAGCCATTCTGGTAAATGCTCGTATTTTAGTACCTTCCAACGCGCTTCATACGTCTTCGTCACGATTCCAGTCTGCTCTGATCTGTCTTCCTTCACATCAACCTCCAACTCATCCTCATCGTCCTTCCTTTTATCCGGTGTCCCTTGAGCATTCACTTCTCGCCATTGTCCACCCTTTTTACGGCGATATCGAAGAACAGTATGCTTTGGGTTCATCTCATCATCACTTCCAGCTCTAACTCGGCCAGCAAACGAAGTGGCACGAGATCGATGTCCTCCTTGGGCTGGAAGAAGTTCCGAGTCAGAGCAGAACTCTCCTTCTTCATCGTCTGAATTGGTTGGTGAAACGACTGTCGTCTTGCGAGAATAATACACTTCAATCTTGTCTCCAGTCTTACGCGCCTCTGGATTCGTCACCTGAAACACGGAAGCTCTCTTGACCTTTGCAACTGGACTCTTTTTCGTTCCATCTGGTTGTTCTCTATCAGTCAATCACGCGATAACCAGCATGTTCTCTTATCAACACACATTCTCTCTCATTGTATCTTTTGTGTGTCGCAATTCAAAAGTGTATTATCACTGGAAAAGTTTTTTTTAAATTTTCTTTCGAGGCAGATCACGCCAGAGTGAGAAAAAAACGACAGTTTTGGTTGTCAACGGTTTTGGGATGGCGAAAAGTTTCGTTAGATGACGAAATGTCAGTTGGTTTAGTATATTTTCCTAGTAGATAACCATAAGAGGTCAAAGTCGAACTCATTGATACGCAGTGACAACAACCGGTTGACGAACTCTATTGGGAGTTTTGTTTGTTCTTTTTAATCTATGATCATTTCTGAAGAAAATAACAAAAATAAGGTATTAATCCTACCTGCACAGTGGTGCTGTCTTCAACTACCAGCTCTCCGGATTCGGAGTCATTGAGGTAGTGCCCAAGTGCTTGATTGACCTCGTCTGGATCCATTCTTTACCTGAAATACTTTGCACTTGCTTTACTTATAGTATGCTACTAAGAAGACTAAAATAGAGTGGGTCAGCTTGAGAGAAATACAAAGAATATCTCAGTGACAAGAAAAAAAGTTGTGATAAGAGGAGAATCGAGGTGAGAGGGGTTTTTTAGATGAATTGCTGCACTTTCCGTTTGCCATTTGACTACCCACGTGATGAGACAACGCACGTGGAAACGAAATCGGTCGAGAATTAAATATATGAGACATAGAGGAGGAAAGAGATAACAGAAGGGAATTCCCTGCACTCTGAGGGTTTTTTGGCAGTTGTTTGTAATAAACACTGAAAACTGACTCAATGTCAGCAGATTTCCATGAAAAAAATAACAATTTCGCAACAAATTCCGAAAAAGGGCTCTTTTTGAGACCCCGGAAATTCCGGGGTCTCCTCTTTTTTTCGAGAGAGTGCAAATGCGCGCTGTTGCAAATGAGCTAATGACTCATCAAAGCGAGGGAATTTGAATAAGAGTTTCTGAGAAGCAATGAGAATAAATGGTCCATGAAGAGAAGAACAATCTGGAAAAAAGGGGAGAAGAATCAAATAAAAAACTGAAAAAGTGCACAGGTGGTGGCACAATTGTCTGCCTGGGAAGAGGAGGAGGAGACGAGTGTTGTGGGAGGCCAAATGTCCATTCTATCTTTTTTTCGTTGTTTATTTCTCTGCGTCTTCTCGATTTCTCGTCAAAAGAGTGTTTTTTTGAGATGCATGTGTTCAAACACGATAAGACATTTGATGATGGGATCAGCGGAATCGGAAGGATTCTTCGAATAACTCGCAAATGATATCAAATGGGTTACTGTAGGAGGAAGGCTTCCAAAATCTGAAATTTCGTACAGAAACAATCAAGAGTTCCACGAAGAGATACCGGAGGCCGTGGCCAAAGATCCTGCAACGACAACTACCTTAACCTAAATATATAAATTTTCGGTATTATGTCTTCGCTTTTCACGGATTTTCGTGAAAAAAACTGACTGGAAACGCACTAAATCGAGATAATGAATTCGGAAATTCAAAATAATTATAGGTTACGGTAGTTGTCGTTGTGTGACTTTTCGGCCATGACCACCGGCGTTTCTCTTCCAAGGCTCCAATTTTTTCTACCATAATAATATCTAAAATTTTATTATTTTAAAGTACTTTTGAAACATGCAGAAAGTCACAAACAATTATCTCAAGATAAATCAAAAAATACATTGAAAATCAAATTCTAACAGTAAGTATTATAAGAAAAGTACAGTGCTCCACATAATCATTGTTCTACCCCGAAGTTTCAGTGGAACCCCTATTTAGGTCAAGTTTCATAAAAAGGTTTCAACATGAAAGTTGTAGCCCTTCTCGAGAAATGGTACCTCGCAAAATTCGCAGTCGACTGCATGACCCAGAAAAATTTCCTGACCGAAATTTCGAAAATCACGTTTTTTCCCATCCACAAAATCATTGTTCCACTCTCAAAATCACGCTTTTTTGGGGAAATTAGGTAGAGAAAATCGGGTTCAAAAATTTTAAAGTTTTGGAAAGAAGACCAGCTGTGTAGAATTTTTTTCTTTAAAAAATAAGAAACAAACAAGGAACTGAAAATTAGTTATCTTTGAGTTCTCGATGCATCTGGATAGATTGGAAATTGGAGTGTCTATTGACAGATGCCGGTTATCAGTAATTTGTTGACCAACTTAGCTCGAAATATCAATTTCTTAGTGTTTCGAGTTTATCCATAATCTGATAGTCTTTATTAGTTTCGTGAAGCATATCAACCATACACTCCCATTCATTTTCTACCAGGTTTATGTTGTGTGAACATTCGAAAATGGTTTTCTTTGAGCCAATTTCAAGTTCTTCTCGGTTTTGGGATGAGTACTCATTCATAAAAGTGTTTTTAAGGTATTGATACATCAGGTAGGCATGTTGTTGGTGACAGTATCATCGGAAGGTTGAGTGAAACAAACGGTTACCGTTGATTGTTGCTACGATCTAAGACAAAGAATATAAACATTCTGGCGTCGACACCGTAATCAGAAATCCATTTTTATTTCATTTCCTCATTCACAAGGTCAGAAGGCCTTCAGAGTGGCTCAAACATTGTCTTATCATACTTCCCACATAGACTTTATGTTCACTTGACCTCAATTCAACCGGAAAAATTCTGGAACTTCTTAATTGAACTAACAAAGACTGTCAGATTATGGATACACTCGAAACACTAAGAAATTGATATTTCGAGCCAAGTTGGTCAATAAATTACTGATAACCGGCATCTGTCAATAGACACTCCAATTTCCAATCTATCCAGATGAATTGAGAACTCAAAGATAACTAATTTTCAGTTTCTTGTTTGTTTCTTATTTTTTAAAGAAAAAAATTCTACACAGCTGGTCTTCTTTCCAAAACTTTAAAATTTTTGAACACGATTTTCTCTACCTAATTTCCCCAAAAAAGCGTGATTTTGAGAGTGGAACAAAGATTTTAATGATATCAATGATGATAAGTTATCCCACCAACAAAAAAGAACAAAGAAATATCGAATCTATCCAAAATTCCTTCACAAGAAGGCTTTATAGTAGGAATGTAGGCAGATATATTACTCCACAAGACTCAGATTACATGAATGCTAGCGAACGTAACCTAACGTAACCCGATTTTCTCCACCTAATTTCCCCAAAAAGCGTGATTTTGAGAGTGGAACAAAGATTTTGTATATGAGAAAAAACGTGATTTTCGGAATTTCGGTCAGGAAATTTTTCTGGGTCACGCAGTCGACTGCGAATTTTTAGAGGTACCATTTCTCGAGAAGGGCTACAACTTTCATGTTGAAACCTTTTTATGAAACTTGACCTAAATAGGGGTTCCACTGAAACTTTAGGGTAGAACAATGTTTATGTGAAGCAGTGTAGAGTGACTAAAGCGTTGGAGCTAATTTAATTTTTAAAACTTCACGCATCAGTTGAATATACACGCATCCTATTTCTCAAAAAACCAGCTCAGGTGATCACACATCGAGCCAGCGAGATGACCACTAGTCTGGTATTCCGGAAGTTCAGAATTTCGCACTCAAGCATCATATTTTCGCACTCAACACCATCTGTCGTCAATTTTTCAAAATGCGAAGTAAGTCTTAGGATTTTCAAACTACAGTATCCCGAAATTCAGAGTCATCCGAAATGCGAGTATTGTTTCTAATGTGCTGTCTTTTTTCACTCGGCTCACTCGATGGTAAACAAGTTTTTTTGCAGATTTTTACAATTTTAGAAATCTTCAGAAGCACCGAATCTACGTCTGGTAACATCTCATCTCTCCGTTGTTTCTCGTCTAGCTAGTGGGATTTGCATTCAAAATGAGTTGTCAGAGAAGAAAACTACAGAGACTCAGGTTGTGGCGAATATGATTCAATCCAATAATCCAAAAGTTTTGGAAGATATTAAAGGTAAAAAAGACATTTAATTTGTGACTCACATCTTTATAAATTTCAGGAACCCAATCATCTGAAGCTTCCAAAAAACTAACTGATTTGTCTGGTGTCTTGAAATCAATTGGACCAGCCACTATTGAGAAATCACATCAGCTTCGAAAAACTCTTGAAACTCTTCCCGACCTTCTTAATCAAGTCGATCAAATGGAAACAGCTTCTCAGAAGACGTTGACGGATGATTTGAAAAAGAATGCGGCAGCGATTACTGGAGGAAAAATTGATATTCGAGAGACTTCTGTTGGAAAATACAATCTTATTTTCATTGCCAACGTTCTCGAGCATATTTTCGATGAGAGTCTGACCGAAGTCCCAACAGATGACACTGAAATTTTCAAGCTAAAGTCGTCGATTCTCCGTTTTCGAACTGAAATGGATGGATATCAGGCGTATGTTGATAATCTAAAGAAATACAAAAATGAGTCTCTTGTTACTGACCTTCTTGCATTCACGAGCTTAAACCTGGACGAGGTTTTGGAACCAGTAAAGGAGTTGGAAGATTTTGCGATGAAATATGATAGAAGCAAATTAGGAACATCTCATATGATTGTCTGGTTAAAGGCATTGGTAGAGGAAATCGATAAAGTAGAGGCATCCAATTTTTTGAACATTCAAGAAGATATGGATGCATTGTTGAAAGATCTGGATAGTTTGTTCCCAGTTGCAAAGGATCTCTCCAAAGTAGAAATGGGATCAAAGTCCACCCAACTCTCTGATATTTTCAAAACTGATTTGAGCTCTCCGTGGTTTTTGGAGAACTTCGCTGAAAAAGAAAAGAAATCCCTAGAAAAACTGAAAACGGCATTAGCTCCATTGGAATCATTCAACGGAAAAGTAATCCAGGTCATCCAAGGATTGACGGACTTCTCCACAAACTACGACGAATTCAAAGTATATTCATTGAGAAGAGTAGTGAAAAAGGTGAAAGATAGTATTGAGAAGGCTAATGAATACAAAAAATTCTCTTCAACTATCAAAAAGGCTGTGGAAAATTCTGTTGCTTGTTTGGAGACGTCTGCACTCAAGTATCCGAGAAAAGAAATAAATTTAAATGAATTCAACAAGGCTTACACTTTATCAATGGATCTCCATAAAAAAGATCACTTTTATGCAAGAATCCGTTGATCAAGCGCTTGCAATTCCAGAAATTGAAAATTTCGCGATTCTTGATCTATTGAAAGCAGAAATCAGTGATGACGTCAATAAGAAGGGATTCAGAATGACCACAGATGAAGCATGGGAGATTATTGGAAAGATGAGAAATGTTACAGATGCCAAAGCATTTGTGGAGAACTTTTTGAAAGCTGGCAATCTCTTAGCCGAAGTTGATAGTTCTGGATTAGACAAGTTGTTGGCTGAAACGATGGATTTCGAAATTGTCCAAACGACTCAAGATATCCTGAAAAACACGAATGTGATCACAGGACTTCAGTGTTTGAAGAATGGCAACGATTCAGTTTTCAACCCGGAACATTATTTGAAATTAATGGAATTTGTGGATAAATTTAGAAGTTTGAAAGAGGAGGACATTTTGGAAGCGATTGGAATTCTGGAAAAAATGGGAAAGATCAAAGAAGGATTGGTTAATTTGGAGATGAATAAATCGAAACGAGCAGCTGGGAAGACGGCAGAGAAAGAGCTGTTGAAGTTTGAAAATTTGAAAAAAATTTCAACCGATTTGGAGCAAGGAGTGGACACACTGAAGAATATTTTAAAGGTTGGTTTTAAGTTTCAGCGGTCAAAATATTTTCGAATTTCAGGTAGTCGACAAAAAGGAAAAAGTTTTGGCTGCGACAAATTTTGGTGAGAAGGTCGATAGAGCTGTATTAATGATTCGTATGCCACCGATGCAATCTGTTTGGACTCCCACAACTCGACAGAAGATTCAGAAAGTGTATACAGAAATTGAGCAATTGGAAAAAGCTACTGTGGACTATACAAAGGCACAAGAGCTCGAAACGATTTTCGGAATAATGAAGAACGCTACGATTGTGAATGGGTTGGAACTCGACACGAATTTGTTCCAAAATACAGTACCATCCAGTTTAGAAGCTTCTTCAGATTCGGATGTCCGAGCAGCTGCTCCGACTTTCAAAGAATTAGGATCTCTGGATTTGAATTTCGTCGCTCATCATAGTTCATTGAATGCGGCCGCAATGACTTTTGAACCTCTTCGGAAATTCTTTGATGACTTTTTTGGAATCGATAGGTCCCCACACAAAAATGCTTCGGCACAGCAACAGCAGGATGCTGGAAGTACAGCTGGGTAATATTCGGATACATTCAGAATCTAGTCTGGTTATTTTTTTTTCAGACCCCAATCAATCCATCTGCTGCTCTTAACCGGTTTGATTATTCTTCTTCTTGTCTTATTCATTGTCATTGTGTTTTGCTATAAGAGAAAATCACGTCTTCGTAAGCTGAATTATAAAGAAACTTGGAGACATCTTGTGAGTGAATTAAAATTTCCTTTTTCAAAACCATTATAAAAATTCAGAGATTCTTGAGCGAAGGAGCAGTGACCAAAAACGAGGGAACTCAATACACTCAACTCCATTTGGCAGTGCTCAGGAAACGATATGATGAGGTGAAGAGACTTGTCAAGAATGGAGCATATGTGGACGTTCATTGTGAGTTTTTCAGCTTTCAATTTTCCGGAGGATCCAAAATTTTTATTTTTCAGGTTTCGGTAAAATTAATGAGACTCCACTGCATACTGCTGTCTCAAATAAATCAACTGAAATTGTTAAATTGCTCATCAAGAGTGGAGCGGATTTGAACGCATTGGATGGGAACTATGAGACGCCGTTGGATAGAGCGAAGAGTAACAAGGAGATTCAGAAGATTCTCAAAGATTCGCAAAACAAGAAAATCAGAAAAAGTAAGCAATTTTTCTTGAAAGTTAGAAACTCCCAACTCTCTTTTAGATCTTCCACAGGTTTTGTCAGTCGACAAGTACAAGATTTTCATTGATGAGGATGTGAAGGGCAAGAAGGATTTCGCTGAGCATTTCAAAGCAAACGTAAGAAAGATCTAGATCACAAATTTCGATTTAAATTTCAAAATTTAGATTGTGACCAAGATCGATAAAGCTACCCATGTGATTGTTAAAACAGGAAAAGGAAAAACTTATGAAATGGACAAGGAAGATCCATCTGCACTTAAAGTGCTGGCTGCTGTGTGTAGTCCAAAACTTTTGATGTCTTCTGATTGGATGGCTGCTTCACTTGAGAAGAGCAAAAACTTCCGTGATGATCATCTTTATCAAGTTCAGAAGATCAAGTTCAATGGAAAGACCTACAAAGGAATTGATGATATTCAGCTGGCTCATAGCAAATTGGTATACATATTTTAAATCGAAAACTCAACTTTCTTTTATTTTTTTTTTTCAGGAAGTTCCATTCTTAACCAATACCATTGTTTACTTTGACCAAGCAGATCTTCACACAATCGACTGGAGTGGTTTGAAGGGTATCGCCTCTGAATTGGGTGCGCAGACCGTGGACGAATTCCCAGTGATGCAAGGAATGATGTCTGGACAATGCCCGTATTATAGAGAGGACTTGGGACACATTTTTGTAGTTTACAATCAGAGTAACGCAGTGAGTCTATAATTATTTCTGATCACCTAAAAACATAAAAATGTTAAAGGAAAAAATGACTACAATGTATCCGATTCTGAAAACGGAAAAGGCATACACATTCTTGGAAAAGGACGAATTCATTGCTCTTATTCTGAACAGAGAGGTTTCACACAAAAAGCTAAAAGGTATCAAAGGTGGAAAGAAAGACTCGAAATCAAAACAATCCAAGTCGAAAAGTTCTGAAAAATCGGGAGATTCCTATCGAACTACTGGCGGAACTACAAGAGGAACTACGGGAGGAAACAGTGCTTCTGGATCTGTTACCCCAGCAAATGGCTCAGCGACGCCAACTCCAATTTCAAATACACCATCGGCTGCTGAAGAGCACAAGTCGGATGTTTGAGAGAGCTCTTTTCTATACTTTTTCATTTATAAAGCTTTGGAAATAGAATTAAAAATTATTGCAGTTATTATGATTTTATTAAATTTCAAACAGGTTAGAAGGAGGCAGTAATGAGTATCAGTAAAATTAGAGCACGAAAGTAATGGAGACATCTGGTGAAAAAAAGAGTATTAAAAATACTGATTACGAGATAGAAGAAGTGAACCTTTGAAGAGTTAATACGGATTGAATCGTCCTCTGAACCCTCCACGTCCTCTTGGAGCTGTTCCATTGACATAAACGTACTTTACGACGACGGTTTGTTGTCCTCCACGACCTCCACGGATACCACCTCTCGTGGCTCCACCTCGACCTCCTCTTGGTGCTCCCATTCCTGGTACATTGGTCCGTTTGGCGGTGACGACGATTTGACGAGCTCGGAACAGAGAGCCGTTCATAACCAGAGCATTTTCAATGCTTTCAGACGATTCGAACTCGATGTAGGCAAAGCTGAAAGTTAGAATAGTTATTGACAGATCTAGTATAAAAAATCTGATACTCACTTCTTTTGTCTTTTAGTGAACTTATCCTTTGGGATAGTGGTTCTAACGATCACGCCACATCCTTTGAAGTGATCTTGAATCTCTGCAATCGTTGATCCGAAGTCAACATTTCCGACGAACACCGATCTGGCGTCGATCTCCTTTTGCTCTTCCGCAGTTTGTGGAACCGTCTTGGCAGCCATCTTTTCAGCCATTTTGTTCTGAATGTCTCGAAGAACGGCAGCTTCAGCTTCAATTTCCATATCCATGGAGTTACAGTTGTTGTGAGCCATTGCTGATAAATGTGGGGATTTTTTCTCTGCAATAAGTTGGGGTGTGAAACGAAAGAAGACTGTAAAAGTTAAAACGAAAGAGAGAAAGGTAGACGACCGTTCGAGACGAGGGATCGAATGAGAATGAATGAACGAATGAATGGATCTACGCTCAGGCTACGTCCAGGTGTGCCCATATCCTCCTTCACCTCGTCTTGTAGATTGAAAGAAACCCATCTTCACATGGTCATTGTTAATTACCATGAGAAGATAAGATACCTATGTGTGCTTCCGGGAAAAAAAACCAAGGAAAAGAAGAGAACAGTCGGTTACACCGTAGGTATGTAAAATCAAGAATTTCAAGCATATACCGTAAAGGGATATACCGTAAAAGAGTACATTGTACTTGCACTTCAAGCGGAATTATTTCAATTTCTGTAAGAGGTATAAAAAATGTGTCAACGGATGTTTGTGACATTATGAAAAAAAGTTTACTAGTTGACAGATTTTTTAATACCTCTTACAGAAATTAAGATAATTTAGCTCAAAGTTAAAAAGTTGGAGGACCTTCTATTACAGGTTTTACGGTGTCCATGTTGGGCAATTTAATAGTTCTTATCTTCAGATGATAAAAGCAAAATACGATAAGAATTGGTTGGCTCTAGCTATCATAGTTGAGAGAAGTTTTGAAAACTAGAAGAACAAATTCGAAAAAAAACAAGTGGCATCTTATAGTAAGAACCTAGGAGGTCCAGACATTGGTCTGTATATGATCTAGACAAATAGGGAAATGAATAGTGAAAAATGGAACGAAAAGATTGGTTCGGATCAAAATGAACCAGCTGAATATGAAAGATACAAATGAGAGAGCAAAAAGAATACGACGATCAACCATGAGGATAGAGGAAAAAGTGAGGTAATCGTCTGTGAATTCATCTCACACCAGGGTTGCGGATTGACGGGCCGTCAGAAAAAATTTCCGGCCCGGCCCGGCCCGTCGGCCCGTCCATAGCTTTTTCAGAGAAAAATTTTTTTGATGAAAAATTTTTTGAGCGAACATAGGCACCATTGGTCCTATTTTTAGCTATTTCTACCATTTTTAGGCCTATTTTGGCCTATTTTTAGGCTTTTTCTCGCTGTTTTTAAAGCATATTTGAGGCTATTTTCGCTTAATAGCGAAACAAATTTCGTGTAGTCCTCGTGGACAATAGTTTTCACCGGCTTCAAAATTACCGAGCTATTTGTGGAGATTTTGACCTATTTTTAGCGATTTTTGCTGTTTTCAAGCGTGTTCTAAGCTATTTTAACTTATTTTCAGTGTATTTCATCCGTGTAGTCCTCGTGGACAATAATTTTTAGCGAATTTGAATTTACAGTTAAAACCTCAAGTGGGTAATTGATAACGTGAATAAAAAACTTTCATTCAAATCGGTTGAGTTTGAGCTGAGTTACAGTCCCGAACATACATGTGGAAAATTCGGAGTGGAAATTTTTTACAGTTTGCAGACGGGCCGGGCCGGGCCGACGGGCCGGCCCGGGCCGAAGTTTTTAGAAAATCGGCCCGGCCCGGCCCGTCGCAGCCCTGTCTCACACCGACCATCCCCACCTGCTCTCGGGACCCGATAGACAACATAAGAAACGCCTTCTTCACCTAGTCATTGCCTTTTATTACTAACTATGTACCATTTCTGTGAATGAGATAAGAACCACAAATGACTTATCCGATGAGTTGAGTCAATGAAAACCACCGAACCATGAAACATTGACAGAATCTCGAGGAGAAAACCCATGTGTCAAAGAACGAAAAAACAGAAGTGGGGCAAAAATTATGGGATTGGAATGCAAAGTGGAAGCGTTAGCTCTCTTTTTGGGAAGATTTGTAACAAAAATTCATTTTTCTTCTGTTGGATAAACATAAGTAACACATGTAAAAAGTTCATGGAGTTCTTGATCTAGGGGTGCGAGAGCCTGGAGTCCTTGAAGTGGGGGTTCTTGATAAAGGGACTCTTGACGTCGGAGTCCCTCCCATTGTAGATGTTCCACTATCACTGTTTTCAGGTCCACTATTTGAGCACTGACTTTCTTCAATTGACTTCTTGTTTTTCTTGTTTCCTGGCTTCTCCGTCTTGTTGCGTTTATACTTGGCTTCTACCTTTTCAATCTGTTTCGAGATGATCTTGAAGCTTAGAAGGTACTCTATGAACTCGTCAGTATTGGCAAACCAGAATTCCGGATGTTCAATCCACGTGCTCTTGAAATTCATCTCCACTTGAGTACGATCTCTTTTACGATAGATCAAGAAGTTCCTCGATAAATCATCTCGATGATATGTCGTACCTCTCTTTTGAATTTCCTTCACAAATGGAAAATCCCCGGTTCCAACAAACACACCTAATTGTCCAGTCACCACACGCAACGTTCCCCCTGAACATTTTTCCATAAGTTTCAATAGATCCAAACATGTACGGTACATTCATTCGATTGATAAAGTCCTTAATTTCAAGCAAATTCTTGTATTCTTTCCCTCTGAATTTCATTTTCGTAACACGGTATTCCTGGTTATGAGCAATTATAGAAGAATTATCCAAGCAAGCTTTCAGCCAACGGTGACCCATTATCATTGAAGCACTGAAAGTCAAAATTTAAGAAAAAAAAATGTCCTTCATACCTGAAGATATGTGGTAGATGATGTTCTTCCACATGGAGCACTCCTTTCTTGTCAGTTTTTGCAACATAGTGCGTTGACCGTTTCATACCTTCCGTTCTCTGAAAATCTTTCATCTTGAACATTCAGTCAATTTTCCGACTCACGTATTGTCCAAACTTTTTGAAAAAGTCTCCATGATAATGCTCCTCTTTTGGGATTCATCTTTCCACTTTTACCGTATAATCATGCTTGGCCACTGGCTCCGGTAGTACAACCTTGAACGTCTTCTTCTCGTATTTCTTGAATACTTTGATGCAGCTCTTTTTCTTTAATCTGACTGCTAATTGATATGGTGTCTCGTAATCATGGTTTAGAATCTCTCGAGTTGCTCCATGCTTGATCAAGGCTTCCACGAATCGAGGTCGACCTTGGATCACAGCTTCATGGAGCATCGTGTTCGATTGCTTGTGACTTTGAACTAGAAAAATGGTAGAACATTGTTAAAATATAGTTTCCAAAAAAGTACCTTTAGCATCTACATAGGCTCCTTTCTTCAAACTATTTCGAAAAGCTCCATAGTTGTTTTTGATGATGTAGTGATATGCTTTGATAGCAAATCCATTACCAAATTCAACTGGAACGTTTTCTTCCGTGAATGCGAGAAGAACCCAAGTTTCTGGATCTCGAAGACGCTTGAAATACTCTGAAAAAAAGTGTCTTGTATATTTGTTGTTTCCCTTCCTCACGCCTAGAGAAAAGAAAAAGAGGGAGCGCGCCCACCACAAGGAGTGCGAGAAAAGGGAAAGAAGAAAGAAGTGTGTAGCCTTTCTAACTCTGGTGTAAAGCAAGCCGTTCTGGCCGAGTGGTCTAAGGCGCTGCGTTCAGGTCGCAGTCCTCTCAGGAGGGCGCAGGTTCGAACCCTGCGGACGGCAAACCCTTTTGCTTTTTTTTCGACTTACTGTGATCTCTGCGACACTTGTATAAGAAATAAAGGGCTCCTCCTACAACAAGTACCACGAAAGCGATTGCTCCATATATGTATAACAATGTTTCTTGGCTACTGGAAAAATATTATTTTAATTTGAATATATATAAAATCTAAATAAAACTCACATTCCATTTTGACCTTCATTGTTCACTATTATCTCTCCATTTGATGATCGGGAGATTCCAAAGACTTCATCAAAGTATTTGGGAAGTGGAACAAGCGAAAGAGAAGCCGCTTTAATGCTGGTCCTGTGTGTAGAGTAGTCAAGTTCCACAGTGCTCAACTCAGAAAACGTTTGACCAGCATTTTGGAGTATCGAGCTATGAGATTTTTTGAGTTCTCGAAGAAAATTTGCATTGAAAACTTTTGTATCAATAGGTACCCCTCTGATCTCACTTGCCTTGCTGAAGACTGACCCAACTTGAATGAGGTCTTTGCCGTCCTTGTTTTCTTGGGCATATTTTTTTCGATTTACTGCAATTCTGGCATCATTCCCTTCATAGACTTTTTAGCTTCTTTCGACCATAACGATTCCAACGCAGGAATCAACTTTAGCTCTCTGTCGACGTCTGCAGGGTATTCAGCAATCGTTTGTATGAGGTGCCGCTTCTCATAGACATCCGCTAAGTTACGAAGTAAATTTACACCTTTTCCGAGATCTAATGCTAATGTTTTTGAATCTTTTAGCCTTTTCAATTCATCTAAACTCCTTCGGTGTCTTGATTTTTTCATCATGCTTTTAGCCTTTTTGAATCCCACGAACATGAACATGCTTTACTGTCTCCACAGTTTGTTTTTTTATATCACGAACTTTCATTCCAAAATTCAGTATTTTCTCAAAACTATTGAGATCTACAGATTGTCCTCTAAGGTTGTTCAATGCATCTTCTAGTCCAGTTCCATCCAACCCTTTTTGGACTTCCCCCACTACGGAAAAATCTGGTTTTCCCTTCAAAAATTTATCGATTTCTCCTGAGAAAATCGGCGCTAGCTCTTCGTTTGAAGCCACAACCACTTCTACCAATTGAGAGAAACCCTGAATAGCTCTACACTTTTTTGCCGTGTTATCCGCTTCAGAATTATTGATCCGAGGTCGTTGAACTTCCGTTTCCGCGATGACTACTAAGCTTTCAAACGGTGCAAAAACACCCTCATCTCCGTTTCTGAAAATGTTCTCGAACTTCTTTTTGAATGAATCCGAATATCCGTCTAGAGTCTTGGAAAAATTGTAAACAGCGTCGAACTGAGAAAACTTCGGAGACCCTTTAATTGGCTTCAGACTGCTGGTGGCACTTGTCAATGTCTTCAATGTTGTCTCCAAATTTTTAATGCCTCGGATATGTTTTCCATCTTCTGCCAAGGTTTCAAACAACAAAAGCAGGGAAGTTGTGATTCCGACCATATCTTTTTCTTTGTTGAAATCTTTCCATTCTTTTGACACGATCGATAAATTCCCACCGACAAAATCCAAGAATGATAGATATGGAAGAAGCTTATTCATATCTTTTCCTTCTGCAATTTTCTCTTTCAACCACTTTTCGTTCAAGTCTTCTTTAATACGGATTAGGTCTGAAGGTCCGTTTGAGAATCCTTCGGTCAAAGACTTCGGAGACTTTTTCAGTGTCGACATGGATTTCACAAAGTCAGTGACTTGCTTCAATGATTTGCTTGTATCAGAATGAGTTTCATGATCTGCCGACAACGGTAGGAGAACATTCATATCAGTTTTCAATGCGTTCATCTTCTCTGCCAGTGAATCGAAAACGTTCTAACTTTTTTGGTAAGCCTGTCCAGCTGTAGAAATGCTGAAGATAGGATTCAAGGCTTTATACTTTCCTTGTATTTCAAGAATACTTTTATAGTGGGTTTGGTAGTTTACCGAATAACTGATGACCGAATGTATATTATGTCTATTTTTCACAATCATCTGGAACAACTCAGAGATTCTAACAGCTAGATAAAAGTCTTCGTCCAACGGATGATCTCTCAGAATCTTCATTCGTTCCGCAACGTCTTGGATGTCTTTAAAAGGCAAAGGGGATTTGTATTGGGTTCCAGTTTTGATCTTCTTGGTTTTCTCAATAAAATCATTTGCATTTTTAGTTGTGGCACCAATATTAAGGTCATCCACATAACTTTTCATGGACTCGAGAGCCATGATACCGTCTTTCACTTCCAAAGTATTTCTTATTGGATTGACACCTATTTTTTCTGCATCAGTTACTGTATCCTCTAACTTTTTAGACAATTCACCGTCCAGTTTTGTCTCTAACAGGCTATGAACCGTTTCACCTGATTCAATATTCAGAAGTTCAGCGATAACTTCTTCAGAATCGGCGAAGCCATTGGAAAGTCTTTCTCGAAGAGCGATTCCATTGACAAGACGTGCTAGCATTGAAAAATCATTCGCAATTCGATGCAAAGCAGAAGACCCTGAAAAAATCCATGATGAGCTCAAGAAGTCAAGTTCGGAAGATGAAACCTTGTCCATTTTGTCTGTAAAATCTCAGGCCACTCCCAGTTGATAAACAAAACGACAATGCTAGTAAAAACTGCATAAGAAGCAATCTAGAAAATTCGAAACTTTTGGGAAAAATGATATAGGATGAAACTCACTTCTTCATGCTTAATAGACTGAATCTTAATTTTTCCATTTTGGATTCAAATCTTCAATTGATATTGAACATTTCGTGGAAGAGAAAAAGATGACAAAAAGTAGTAGAAAAAATATATCAAAACCATGTCATTAGAGATTAGGAGAGGTTGATAAAAATCCATGTCATTAGAGATTAGGAGAAGTTGATAAAGGACGAATTTGTCAACAACTTGGAATGTGCCAGACGGACATACATTTCGAATCTTATAATTTCAGTATTATGCCACAATATTAGTGGAAAAAATTCATTGATTTATTTCGATGGATAATCGAGTTATAATAATATAGACCATAATTTCAAGATTACTAGACAACAAATTATAAATACCAAAAAATTATTAGAAACAACCAATTAAATTGGGGATAATTATGAAAAGTTAATTGCGATAACAGCATCTCTAAGTTCTTGGACTTCTGGTGGAGTCTCCGATGGTCTTCTAGCAGTTCTCTCAATTTCCGGTGCTTCAATCACATTGATTTCTAGTTCTTTGAATTGTAAAGTGATTTCTTGATTGTTGTAATTGGATTCAAATTTGAACATATTTTGATTTCGTGGATCATCAAATTCTCCAAGTCCAGAAATGCTTGCTCTGATGGCTTCAAAAGGCAGCGGATTTTCAGCTTGGACTTTTATGATAGAGCCTCTTTTAGGAACATGTTGCTTGTAAGTCTGTAATTTTTAAATGTATAAAATCCAACATTAGTAAAAAACTAACCTCCACAAGCTTTTTCACATCCTTAACACTGAGGGACACACATTTGATAAGTTGGAAATGATAAAAACTTTTCCAATCTTTATGAAAATCTCCCTCTTGGATATCCACTACATTTGGTGCTCTCCATTGATCAGTCTCGATGAAATCATAGTATCCATAGCTCAATCTATCCGTCTCTAATAGGGTTGCCAGAGTTTCCTTGTAAACATCCTGACTGATCACTTTTGAATCATCCCATAATTTGAGTTTAATTGTTTTTAATGATTCGGGGTTCAAAAATATAATCAACGGACCGAAATGATGAACACGCTCGTCGTCATACGGTTCCATGAACTTCCCTTGTCGTGTGAATGTAAACTCATAGTTTTCGACATCGATAGAATGCGAATTCTTCTCATTTTCCAAATGAATATAGATGTCTTCAAGAACGACAATCTCAGGAAATAGTTCCCCTCGAACTTCATCGTAAGCTTCAATATCGTAAGCGAGAAGGTCCAATCGTAAGTTTTCTGTCAAGAAAAGGAAGACGAGGTCAGTAGCTGCGAGTTGCTCAGCATACCAGCCTTCTATGAAAACTTCTTGATTCTCATTTCCACATTTCACAACTGTCCCGTTCGATACATTCTTGTAGGTAATCTCGACAGTTGATAAATCGTTTGTGATTTGAATTTTGAAATTTTCATAGCCAGTGATCCATCGAATTGCTTTCATTCGGAGTGTGTATTTCTCGCAAATGCTGCAGTGCTCTGCAGAAATTCGTCGAATATGAAACCTGTAAAATAAATAGAAGTAAAAAGACGGTTTAGAAATAACATACAATTTCAAAACATCCTCCAATTTTGACACGGTCTTCGACCCGTTCAGCACAATCGCGTCCAATTCCAAATCAGCTGTCATTTTGAAAAAGTTTTCAACGACGGTAATCTGGATAGGATCTTCAGGATCATCGACAGGCAGAGGGTCCGGAATGTAATTTTTGTTATAATCATCACTGAATACCACGTCATCTTTCCAATCGTCTGAAATTGCCGTTGGCGCTCCTTCTGAAGTTCCTGAAGCTTCTGAACTTTTCTTCAGCTTTTTTACGTCTGTATCCATTTCCTCTGATCGTTGAGAACATCTTCTTTTTGCTTTTCTTCGATTGTCTGAGGAAGAAGGTGTTCGAGCTTGTCCTAGGCTTGAGCTCGTGGATGGTTGATCTGGAAAATAAAATATTGGAATCCTCTAGGAATTCCATGAATCTTCTACCTCGTCCTGTTTCCTCATTTTCACTCTTCCTGACTTTTTTAGCGTCTGGATCATCTCTCGGGCTGGTACGCTTCCTTTTTCTTGGCCTTTCTTCTGTTGCTCCCGCAATTCTGCTTTCTGTTGATTGATCATCTAAAACATTCAGTTGTAATTGAAAATCAGAAAAAATTTTTACCTTCAGGCATTTTTCCATCTTTTATCATTTCGCAAATCTTTTGATGAGCCTGTGTGATTGAGTATCTTTCATTGTAGAGTTTTAGAAGATATTCGTCGCGCTTCGCCGGATCGGTTTGGAATGGATGAGTCATTGGAGAGCTAAAATACCAATTATGAACATGGAAAATCGGTGGAGAATTGATAGAAAAGGACAAACACTGATACGAAAACGATGAGAAAATAAAGTGGCTGATCAGTGTGTTGAAAAGAAAAAGAAAAGAAAAACCGCTCGCTCCAAAAAAAAGTTGGTAGATCAAAAAATTTCAAATTTAAAAAATCACAGTTCGAATTTTCAGGAACTAATCAAAAATTCACTCAGCCCGTTTGAATAACAAAAATTGGAACGACAGGGTTTTTTCTGCTCGTGCTTCAGTGTTTCAAAGAACGTCGTTTTGGTAAAATTTGAAAACTTTTGGTATTACTTCAAATTTCAGACATGATACAGTTTTTAAAGTTCAAAATTCTTGATTTACCCAGAACTTTTCGTGCGAATTATTTATTTTTTTATTTTATCAAATTTGAAGAAACTTCTCTTCGACAGTGCACTTTTGGGACGACTTTGTTAAATGTATACTTTGCGTAACATACCAAGTATAAAGTTACCCCAAATACTGTCTATAATTTTTTAGAAGTCACAATACCGTAAAACCTGTAATAGAAGGGCCCCCTAGCTTTCAACTTTGATCCCATTTACCTCGGTGCCTGACAAAGATATGACAAAATTGATGATAAACATTTTATCAGTTGACACAATTTTGATATCTTTCATAGGAACCGAGATAATTGAGCTCAAACTTGACAGTATGGAGACCCTTTTATTACAGGTTTTACGGTATTTTTTGAGAACCTAAAAGCATAATTGTAATCAGCATCTAAAGTTGTCGTTGTGGGACCTTCGTTCGCTTCTACCGGCGTTTCTCGTCCACAGCTCCAATTTTGTTCGTACCAGAGTAATAGTTGATCTTTTTGTGAAACCTAGAAATTTGGCTCACAGCTGACAGGGTGCAACTCTATGAAAAATTTCACGATGTTTGCTGTCCCTAACTACCTTCTCGTAAATCCCCATTTCGAAGTTTCGTCATGATTCCTGGAAGTTTCGATACTTCACTTCCCTTAAAAGTAAATAAACTTCATCTTTACATCCAACACACAAAAAACCGAACACACCTTTGACATTCATACATTCATTCCACCCCCATGTTTCCCCCATATCAATTCCAACTCTTATCATAATCATTTGCATGTCTCTCTTCTCTCTCTCTCTCTCTCTATTTGCCCATCATTTGTCCATATCACTCTGTTTTTTCCCAGATAGAGAGACTTGCTGCAAATATTGATTCGCAAATTTAACTTATGTTTTCCAATTACCACTTCTATTTTTTTCTAACCTTATTTTTAGCTTTAAACATTGACTATTCCATTGGGTTAAACTTTTGTGAGCAATCTTATCGGCCGTTCTTCAGTTTTAGAATTATCGGCGGTAGTGATGTTGACACGTAAGTACAATTTTTATTGGTTTTTGATCTGAAATTGTTTTTATACAGAGGAGTTAATTGGATGTCCAAATTGATATCGTATGGTGATGATCATCAAGGAATATTATGTGGAGCCACGGTCGTCGATAATTATTGGCTCTTGACAGCTGCACATTGTGCATTGTGAGATTTTTGAAAAATACAAAATTTGTTGAATGTTTATTTTCAGACAACTCCAAAAAAGATCATTTATCTATGTTCGGAAGCCTTCAAACAACAAAGAATACACATTTCCGATCAGAGAAGCTTATGTGCATAGTGGGTATAATAATCAAACTGCTGATAATGATATTGCACTTTTAAAAGTGAGTATTCGTAAATTTCGAGCTTCGAGATAATTCTTGTATGAATTCTTCCGTTTGTATCATTTTCAAAAATCTATGAAAAACCCCAAATTACAGATTTCTTCCGATCTCTCTACCCATGGAATCAAACCGGTTTGCCTTGTAAAGGACGATTCACAAATTCGCAAAGAGTACAAAAATGGAGTTGTTATTGGTTATGGATTGACTCTGGGAGAAGGTTTAAAATATTTCTGAACTTCGAACATCTCAAAATTTTCCGACTTTCAGATGCTTCTGGTGGTCCAAAACTTGTCAACAGTCAGACTCTTCAAAGCACTGCTGTCCCAATTATTCCAGATGTAGAATGTGTGAAAACCTGGAGATTTTTATCATTGTTGTCCGTGAAAATAACCAATTCGCAAATTTGTGCTGGATCCTACCTTCATGGAACTGCTCCGGTGAGTTTTTGATGCAGCGGTGTTCTGAATCCGAAAAAAGTTCCAGGGAGATTCTGGAGGACCTCTTTTAATCCGAAAAACCGATGGCGAATACGTTCAAATCGGAATCACAAGTTATGGAGCTGATGGATTAGATGGAGTTGTAGATCAAGGAAAATTCCCAGGTAATTGATTTCGATCTCTAAACTTTGAAATCCGCCTACTCTTCTTTGTTCCCAGACATCTGTTAATTCAAAGAAATAAATCAACACAGAGAAAGTTTTTATAAGAGAGCCAAAACACGACGAGTTTTTTATCTTCTTAACTACTCATCCAGCTCACATGAGCCGCTAATCTTTGAATTTTCCATGGGATTAGAAGAATCGAAATTTAGTTCGAAATTCAGTTTTTTTGCCATTTAGGTTGCCGTATTTGCCCAGAATAAATAAAAACGATTTACATATTTTTTCAAAAAAAACCTTGCGTAAATATAAGAATTTTGAACAAACTATTGGAGCAAGACTTTTTTAAAGTCTACTGTAAAACCTGTAATAGAAGGACCCTCTAATTTTTTAGTTTGAGCCAATATATCTCAGTTCCTGTTAAAGATATCAAAAAGCTGTCAACTGCTAAATTGTTTATCAGAATATCATAAACAATTTATCAGTTGACCTATTTTTTATATCTCTCATAGGAGCCAAGGAAAAATAGCTCAAACTTGATAGTGTGGACCCTTTTATTACAGGTCTTACGGTATTTGAGTTCGAAAAAATTGATCTTTGAAAAAAAGGAACGTCATATTGCGATCATGTGCACAGCTTCAAAACAAAACCTAGAACAATAGAAAAAGTGCGAGGAAACAATTATCCCTTTTGAATATTTCAGAAGCTTATACTTCGTTTTCTTTCTCTTTTTTCTTCTTTCCCAAATCCCCATTTTCTGTTTTTCAGGTGTCTACACAAGAGTATCCAAGTATGTTCCATGGATTGAAACTGTGATCGGGAAGACCTCGAAGACAAGAAGTTCCACGTCTTCATCTTCTACATCACATTTTCCTCTTTTCTCAATTTTCTGTCTTCTTTTAGCACTTTTGAGGTGAAAATGTGTCTGTTTTTACAACTCATAAAGTTGACCAAATTCTCATTGTGACCTTGAGTTTTCTCAAAAAAAACATGTAAACGTTTAGAGGTTTTAAGATAATTTCCCACGTCTTTTTTCCGTCCGGAAATCCACGTAAATTCTTGCTGGCTCTGAGGCGCCCGTTTATCCGATTTAGGAGACTTTCTCAGATTTCTCTCATTTCAGTCAAAGCGTTTTCTTTCCCTAATTTAGAATTTTTGCGATTGGTCATCGGTGTTTTTGGGTACAAATTTTCAAGCTAATTTGAACAAACTCTATGTGGTAGATAACCTAGAAATTCTTGATTTTGCCAATTTTTTTTCAAATAGGACGTTTGCTGAAAAAAACTAAATTTTAGATTTTACAACTATTTGTTACTATGGAGCTGCGTTTTTATTTGCAATACCAATAGTGAAATTCAACGAATTCTGTTTGCAGAAGCTATCAGTGCTACAAAATTTTGAATATTCTGAAATGCTTTACTCTCGGAATTGAATGAAAGACATTCTCAGAAAATTCAAGGCTTCTTTTTTTCAGAATTTCTTTTTAAAACTAGTATTCAAAAAAAAATCGAAAACTACTTGAATTTCTCCAAAAGAAAAAGCAATTCTCAGTGACCGCTTATAACTTATGAGGGATCAGTTCTGAAGTGGTTTTCGAGACGTTCCATCCAGAATCTTCCATAAAACACACAAATCTCTAGTTCTAAAAAGTTCCAGTACCATTTCGAAACAGCTCTAATTGCTCATGAATCTTCTGGAGTCCCGAATAAATCCGCCCACCACAAAACTTGTCAAAAGTGTCTATTTGCTCACCTTCACCACCTCCTATAGTTGATACTGCCCGCACTTTGTTCTTCTATCCCCCCATCCTTTTTTCCATCGGAGATAAATGTTTTTTCTTCTCCGGATCCTAGTCTCTGCGTTTTATCAAGAGGAGGTCACTTGAGTTTTAACAAGATCGGTAACAGTGGTTACTATTTTCTTTTGTCGTTTTGTGTTTGGGCACGTTTTCTTTTGGATTTCTGGAATTTTCGAACCTAGAAAAGTGATTGCGTTTTCTTTTGCGTTTTATCTGTTTCTCCTTCCTTCTTCTTTTCTTTTTCTTCTCTTGTTCTTCTTCTTTCAATTCATAGTGAGGGGGTATAGCTCAGTGGTAGAGCGCTCCCTTAGCATGGGAGAGGGCTGGGGTTCAATTCCCCATACCTCCAGAAACTTTTTTTGTTTGAATTCTCGAAACCAAAAAGATATTTTCCGAAAAAAAAATACATTTGCCAAATTTTAAAATCCTGGTCACCAACTTTTCGGTTAAGACACCATCATCAAGTGTGCCCCCTAGAGTGTGTTTTTACCCCGCCAATAGAACTAATCTTTTGAGAAAACATAAAGCGGGTTAGATTGGTCAATCAGTCGTAATTTCTTTTACACTTTTTTTAGCAATGACGATATCTTACTCTGGAAACTTCTTCCGCCTTCTACTGCGATGGAAGGGATCCATTTGGAGATCAGTATGGAGAGAGCTCTTCTTCTTTCTTTTTCTTTTTTATGCAATTCGATTCACAGCTCCACACTTTTTCGACTGGGCAGATCCCGACGAAACCAAGGGATACAGGTTTGGAAATTTTAAGTTTTTCTTCTCTAAAAAATTAAATTTCAGAAAAATATTCAAAGTGATGTGCAACGAATTTCACGAATACACAAAAATGATTCCCTTGACTTTCTTGCTGGGATTCTATGTTTCTAATGTGGTTTCGAGGTGAGTCATTTTTAAAAAGTTACAGTTTCAGGAACTAAAAATAGTTGTAACATTAAGAAGCTCGTTAATGATTCTAAACATCTCTTTTCCAGATGGTGGCGTCAATTCGAGTGTCTAAAATGGCCCGAAGATTTTCTCTCAATCCTTTGTCTTCTTCTTCCATCCAAAGAATCCCGTCCTGCACGTCATCAAATTGCTCGCTATCTCAATTTGACTTCTGCTTTGGCTTGGTTAGTCTTTAAGCATTAAAAACTGCCGTTTCACTAGGATGACAAAAAGTAATATTTTTTCTGAGTAGCAATTTAGTCAGTACAGTTAGCCAAAAATATGCTTGAGTCCAGGCGAGATGTCTCCACAAAAATCCGCCTTCGTTTCCCATGCCTTCGAAATATCATCGACGCCGGATTGCTGACGGAAAAAGAATACGAAAAACTTCAGGATATTAATGTAAGGATTCTAAAAACTATGTATTTTATATTCAAATGTATAGGAACCCTCTCCTGGAATCCGTTGGCTGACTCCTCTCCACTGGGTCCAGCAACTGATTGATGCTGAAATCGCAGCAGGAAGAGGATCTGTAAACTATGTTTCGGTGGCTATGAATGAGCTGAAGGCATTCAGAATTTCATTCAGAAGACTGTATTGCCACGATTGGGTCTGTGTTCCATTGGTTTATACTCAGGTAAACGTGTATGCATCCGTTTGGGAGTACAAGTTTCCTATTTTAGGTTGCCGCTCTTGCCACGTATTCATACTTCTTCTTCTGTCTTTTTGGACGCCAAGATTTGAATCACGACGATTTCTATTCTCTTGATTCCTTCTTCCCTTTGTTCACAGTTGTTCAATTTTTGTTCTTTGTCGGATGGTTCAAGGTAAAAATTTATTCGATTCATTAATATGATTTTGTTGATAGGTCGGTCAAGATCTGATGCGTCCGTTTGGTTTGGATGATGATGATTTTGAATTGTCTTACATTCTTGATAGGAACATTGTTACTTCATTTACAATTGTTGACTCACTTCAAGATGATGATCCACGTAAGTACTTCAGAAATAAGTATGTTAAATTCATTATCAATGTTTCAGCAAAATTCGAAGAGGACGTCTTCTGGAAACATCATAGCGAGCAACAACAAATGCATCAAAACATGTTCCTTCCAAAAGTTCCGAGTTCATTGAAGTGGGGACGGATTGATTTGAGCCGTAATGCTCACAAACATCCTCCAAAACTGCATACATATCTGGAAATGAAGAATCAGGATCCAGAAGAATACAAGAATCGGAAAAATAACAAGTTCATTGCTTGGTAGATAACTGCACATTCGTAGATACATTTTTAGTTAATTTTTAGTTAATTAAATTCACTTCAGTAATCAGTTTCATTCGGGTACTTCTCTTCAAATATTTATTTTTTAATTGCCTTTTTTGCTGAATAAAGGATTTCCGTAATCCTGAATTATTCCGTTTTCCCACGACATTTTCAAAGTGAAACACTCTGGTAAAATATTTGTTTCTTTCAAAAAATATAATTAATTCTGACAAATCGTACAGGGCAAAATCTATCAGAATCTGATATCATTCAGTCAGATTCGCTGAAAGCAGAAAAATCTATCGTAATATCTTACGCCAAATTATGGTACAGCAGGTGCGCTCCACAAAGACGGTCCCCTTCAAACAGACACAGGCAAAATAAATAGCATAGTTGTAATCCGGGCCTTTGCGGGCCCTGCCATAATTTCTTTCAGAATCAATATTTTCAATCCAACTAAATCAGATATGATAGAGCTCCACGAGTACTACAAAACGGTATTATTTGGAATACTGTATCTTGTCTATGAACAGAGTTACAGAGCAAACTCAATTGACTCAATAGAGAATCAATAGAGGTAGACTACCTTTCCGAATACCTTTTCTGTGGTTGCGGTTATTCTTTTCATTTCATTTTTGTATTCTTATTCCCAACTTGTTTATATAAACTGGTAAAACTTCTGAGACTACCGTATCTTGTAAAAGATTTAGTTTTCAATGAAATGGAACCGAAGGAAATTCTATTATTGTCATTTTGTTCTAAACGAGTTCAGAAGTGTATTAAGCAACAGTTTAGAATTGAATTCAATAAAGGATTTCGTATCACTTGTGGTATGAATGATCCCCGTATGTATCATTGGCAAAATGAAGACGAAAAAAGACTAGAATTGATAGTAGATCAAAAAGAAAATGATAAAAAAGTGATCAACTGGAAATATGTTTATAGTTTGGACAGTTTGGATCTGCTGAAAGAGTTCAAATATTTGGAAGAGAAGTATTCCTATGAGGCTTGCGATATCGACTTGAAATCTGGATTCATTTTCGAAATAAATAGATTAAGATGTAAATGCAGGTAAGGCTGTATTTTTTTTTTTGAAAACAATTATACATTTTAACTTTGTTCAGTATTTCTTTCGATCCAAATTCTGCAATTCCAACATTATATTTTGAAAAAGATCTGATGAAGAAATGGCCGATGGAACTTCACAAATATTGTGTGGAACTATTCCGGACAACTAGCGAGTTGGAAATGATAATGAATTTGAAAGATTCCTCCGATCTTCATGAATCTCAAACCACCAGTTCTGTATTTACACAGTTCTCTCAAAAGTCTGGACCCCAGAATTGCAGACGAGTTCTTTGAAAAGGCTAACATCCAGAATAGTTTTTCTACAGTCCTGCAAAGACTCGAAGGATTCGTGAGCGATGACTCAAAACTTTGGAACATTACAAGTGTGTTTATTCCGAGCAGCTGGGTTCATGCATGACAATTGATTCGGTTCCCAGGAAAAAATGCGAATTTCAGTGTGGGGGATTACCGTGACGATGTTACACAAAATTTGAATGCCTTTTCGAAACAAACAGTGACAATACCAATTTGTAAACATTGGTAGATAGAGGTTCTTGTATGGAAGGATTATTTGATGGAATTCAGACCATCAGATGGGATCCGGAAAAGAGGCAAGCTAAATATGCCTCAAATGCATCGTAAGTTATTTCTGTTTGGCAAATTTAACTTACTTTGGTTATAGATTTCAAACAATTTGGGAATATCGTTTTGGACAAGGATGCAGATTTTTGAATTTACCGTCGTTTTGGCCCAATGAATTGGACTGCTCGGACGCATTCGACATAGTCAGAGAATCTGATGGATTTATTGCCTCTGTGAAAGTGGATTTTGGTATCTTCTTCATGTTTGTATGGCATTCTAGATTTTCATAATCTACCATTTCTCTATAACTTTTTCTTGTTTTTTGTCTTTTATATTGTCTGATATGTTAACCAAGATTCTGACTTCATCATGTTCAATGAGATTTTTCTCCGTTTTTTACTTGAATATTTAACTTGATTGGATTTAATAAATACTGATAAGTGATTTTCAAAGAACGTAGCTTCCGTTTTGGTTGGACTGATATCTTTTAAATTGTGTGATTTTCGTTGCTTTCGAACAGTTTTCAAAAACTAGTTCGAACAAGATTTCCAAATTTCTTTGATCGATGTCCAAAATCACAGACTCCGTTTTAATTTGAGGAACAGAGTGGTCTAACTCACTCCGGTGGTTTTTCTAGGCCGCCGTAGTTGATGGTCCAGAATTGGTCTAACCTACACCTGATTTTTTTTCTAGGTCATTTACCATGATGGCCCAACTTTCGCAAGTTGAGTTTTCTGGCCCACCATAGTGAATGGCCTAGAACTGGCCTGAAATTCCCCAAAAATGTTTTTAAGCCATTTCAACATGATGGCCTAATTTTCACAAGTTGAATTTTCTAGGCCACCAACGAATGTTTGAACGAATTTTCGAAATTAGCCGTTTTCGAATAATGTTCTGGTTTAAGACAAAGCGAAAAAGTTTTCAGAGAAGTTCTTTAATTAAATAACGAAAAAAAGTTAGGGCAATAATCATAAATTCAACAAAAAAAAGAGATTTGAGCAATACAGATACAAAAAAAGATAAATTCTACTAGAATCTCTTTAGCATTTGATATATTCAGAAAACAAAAAAATCATGAGGACAAGGTGGGAAAAGAAGAAAAGGCACATCATGCATAACCACACAAACATTTATGGGAAGTTTTTTAATAATTTAGAAATTACAGAAAACAGTGTTCTCAGAGCTCGCCTGGATACACGTAAGGGATCAGCAAACGAAAATATGGACGGTGAAACTGAAAAAACGGAATCACAGACTATTGCTTACTATAAAAAAGAAAACAAAGGAGAATAAGGCATTATTATGATTAGACAATTTACACCGAAAACACACACAGACAATAAGTAGATGAAACGCGGGAAATTTGAATTTAAAAAATAGAAAAAAAAGGAATTTATAATGACAAAGGTGATAAAAGAAAGACATAGACAGCCAGATAGATCAATATGGGCGGAAGTGAAAATAGAGCAATGACAAGTTGACAATCAGCGAATATCAGTTGATTTCCCCCTTCTTCTTCCTCCTTCAGTTTCAATTTCATTCTCTCGATTTCAGCTTCCACTCTCATTTCCTCCATCATCAAGTCAATTAACAATTGGGGATCTTCATTTAGGTCATAGGGCCACGTGGTGATGACGTGGCTCTTGTTATTGTTCGATGGCTTTTCTGGGTTATCATTGGGATCTTCTGGCGTCGGCGTCCTTCTTCTTCTCACGTCTGCCACGTCATCACCTGACGACCAGCGGCTTACTACTGCTGATTGTCCCCCTTTCGTGGCCCTCCCCGAGAGCCCCCCGGCTGTGTTGAAGGACCCGATGAATTGGATGTTGGGTTGTTATTCGCGTTTGGCGGATATCGAACTGCTCTCGGAGGTTGGTACGGCTGTAAAATTGAACACCGAAATTAAATCTCCTAACAGAAATACTATTGAAAACTCGCAATGATGATAAGCAACTGAAACAGTAAAAACTGACCTCTCTAGTGGGAGCTTTCGTACTTGTTCTCTTAAAAGCCTGCCTATCTCTATCCACTTCTACATCTTCCAATCGTTGAGTTAGGGAGAGTTTCTGCTGGATTGCAAGACGAAGAAGTTGGTTCAACGTCTTCTTTTCCTCCTCGTTGGCTCGGAGTTCAGCTGATAGTTCTTCGACCTGAATTAAGAGACATTTTAGTACTCAAGTATTTTTTTTCTCCTAACGAGCCTTGGCTTTGAGTTCTTCTCCTCTTGCTGTGAACATGGCTCTATGAGAAGCAAAAGTAGCAGCATCCTCCTTCAACTGTTTCAACTCTCTCCTCATCTTCTCGGTAATATCCATCTGCATCTTTTTCTCCGATTCAAACTTCTCTCTCATTGAACTTAATGCACTTTCTGCTGTCAATTTATTCGACTTCAATACAGTTCTCAACGTCGAGATTTGATCTCTTTTCGTCGATAAAAGACTTCTCAATTTCACATTCTGCATCTCAATTTCATTTTCTGCTCCACTGGCCATAACTGCTTGATTGAATGCTTGTTCTGAGGTTCTCTTCACCACTTGAACCATCTTTTTGAGAGACTCCGTTGTTTCAGAAATTGGATTTCCTTCTGAAACATTCATAAAGTTTTAAATTAAATAACTTCTTCTAAATACTAACCAGTTAGAATTCTTTGCCTCATATCAGCTTCCGAAAGGACTTCTCGTACTTTGACACTAGCCAATTTCTTCTCGATTTCTTTTGCAAAACTCGGAGCAATCACAAGTCGATCAGAGTTCAGCGGGATGGATCGAGATGCATTCACATCTGTTTCTGTTCCACTTTCAACGCCTTCTTCTGCCAAAGAGACACGTGGCACATCTTCAGCGTTGTCACGAGCCAACTGACGAAGTTTTTTGACAACCTCTTGTACACTTTTCTCCGTTGATATCCCTTGATTCTGGGTCATCTGGTGGTAGAATTGGTAAAGTTGGTCGGATGCTTGAATCATGGCGTCCTGAGCAGCAGCCAACTGTGCATTCTTCTCTCCAGCAAACATCACGAGGCTCCTCAGATCCGCCTTCACGATTCCAGATCTTCGTTCTTCTCCTTCTTTCTCATGACGATCAGTGTCTCTAGCAATGTTTTGAATTTTCTCCAAGATCACATCCTTCTGCTGACGAGCATGCATATAGTCGAGCTCGCCTGGAAAATTAAGACAATTTTTTTAAAATTAGAAACTTCTTAAAACTCACTAGTAGGCCGATGAATGTTGAGAGAGTCTCCAAGAGCAGTGACAAATTCAATGAACATCTTCTCTTTATTCTTCATCTCTTCTTGAATTCCTTCTTTCGCTGCTTCCAATTCTCTCACTTTCACATCACTGGATCCTTGTAATTCACTGAACAAATCACTTGCTCCAGGCTGTGGAACCGGGAATTCTCCATCCTAGAAAAGCAATTCAATTTTAAAAAAATCAAATTCACAAAAAGAACCAACCTCTTCGTAGCCAATAAGAATATCATTCAGCGAGCTGATATGTTCAGCAGTTCTCATTTGTTCCAATTCCTTTTTCATCGCCAAACGTTGGTCTCTTTCTTGTTGTGCGGTGAGTAGAGCCTCTTCCAACTGGAAAAATACAGATCTCATCAAATTTATGTTACAACTACTAGTTTCCAACACATTTTGAATTGACCCAATAAAGTTTATGGTCTACTACAAAACCGAATACCTCACACACTGTTTAAAACACAGCCGATAAAAACGTGCCTGTTTCTCAGCAATGACTCGAAGTACTTCACTTTCTTCATTTGTCAATTTCAGAACCACAATATGCTCTTCCAGCCGGTTGTTATCAATTTTCATGGATTCATAATCAACTTGACTTCCTCTCAAATTCGCAACAGTCTTCTGGAGTCCAATATTCTCTTCTTCCAATTCCGAATACTCTGTCATCAATCTCTGTTCTCTCTCCTTTGTTTCCTTCAGTTCAGCTCTCAATTTCCTTCTCTCATCCTCCAAAGCAGCTCCAGAATCGATTTCTTCAGTGTGTTTCTTCTTGATTCTATCCAATTCTTCTTTTTTCTCTGCCAATTCTTGTTCTTTTTTCTTCAAGTCCGTTTCTAGTCTGGCGATCCTTTGAAGGTATTCCTCTTCTTTAGCGGAGCTCTCTTCCAGAAGGGATTCTTCATTTTCAAGTTCACTTCTGGTACTTCTTTGATGTTGGGAACGATATTCGGCAAGAGTCTGGAACAAACTTTGATAAAATTGTTATTCTTGAAAGTTTCTAAATTAGAAGAAAATTCGGTTTCAAAAAAAAGTTTTTAGTGCCTGAAGTCTATTCCTACCGTATAACCTGTAATAGAATGGCTCCTGCACTGTCATGTTTAAGCTCAATTATCTCAATTTCTTTGCAAGATATCCCAAATGTGTCAACTAATATAATGGTTGTGTTACTATGGGAAACAATTTATCAGATGACAACTTTTCGATATCTTCGACAGAAACCGAGGAAAATTGGCTCGAAGTTAAAAGTTAGGTTACCCATCTATTACAGGTTGAACGGATTTTAAAAAATCAGATCCAAAATGTACAATCTTCTCACCTGATTAGCCTTATCAACTTCAGCTCTTGTCAAATCTAAATCAGTTTGAAGTTCACTCAGCCTCTTCTCCAAATCCTCTTTTTGTCGTAACAGGTCCAATCCCGCATTTGCTGCTCTATGCAGATCCTCCGTTGCTTGTTCATATTTCTGCGAAAGGCTCTCATGCTCATTTCGCAGTCTTTCAAGTTCTGCTTCAGCCATCTTGGCTGTGTCTGAAAATATGATGATTAAGGAATCTAGTTGAGAATCATCCAAACGAAAAAAAGAGATAAAAAGGGGCGTGGCCTTGGAAGGTAGGTTCAATTCCCAAGCGGCGAATTTGCGTTTTGTAGAAAACGACGAGAAGGGAAAACGAGTGTCGAAAACTAATTGTATATTCATAAGGTTTTGGCGTTTTTAGTTCTCCAAAAAATAGTATGGATTTCAAGGAGAGTACAAAGAAATAGGTACGCTAGTTCCAGAAGAATTATGAAATGAAAAATGGGCGAGAGAATGAAGAGAAAAAGAAATAATGGAACAAAAAACAAATAGAGAGAGAGAGAGAGTGATGGAAAAGAGTGTTGGCTGGAGGATGACCTGACACAAATATTGAGTGCGGCTGGCTGCTGTTTCGTTTTTTTTTTGTTCGTTGTTCAATTCTTTCGGCACCGCAACAGTCAAAATCGACACGACAGGAGAGAGTTCTAATGCCTCCGCAAAACAGTTTAGACCCCGTCTGATTTGGGTTGGGGGAAAGTGAGGGGGAGAGCACGGAAGAAAAAAAGAGACCGGAAATGAGTGATGATGAGTCAAGACGTTCTTTTTTAAGGGGGAGTTTTCCAAAGAATGCAAAACTATATTGAAATTTCGAAATCAATGATCAGTTGAATAGTTTGGAAACAGGAACTGTCTGCCAATGCAATTATCTCATCGTAAACGGGAACGTTACCTAAATGGTAGTTTGGAAAGTTACAGTATACTGGGATATACGTTTTTCGAAACTGTTTGGTTTTCTTCTATGAAACTGGGTATGGTTTTTTGGAAAGTCAAAAAAAAAATGTAAACGGTCTCCCTAACTTTCAACTTTGAGCCAATTTATCTTGATTCCTGTCAAAGATATAAAAAAGTTGTCAACTGATGAATTGTTTATCAGAATATCATAAACATTTTATCAGTTGACACATTTTTGGTATCTTTCATAGGAATTGAGATACCGTAAAACCTCTAATAGACCGTCACCTCTAATTGAACGTCACCCCTAATAGACCGACACGAGAAATTGCATTCTAAAAATAGACCGACAGCCTCTATTTGAACGACAGCCTCTAATACACCGACAGCCGCCTACCCCTAATAGAGCGACACCCTTTCCAAAACTACTGTAGCGACGCAAACACAAGACATCCGCGCGTGAACTCTCGAATCTTTTTTCTCCTTTTTTTTTTTTTTTCCCTATTTTTCAATGTTTTCTTTTTAATTTTAAATGATTTTTGGTGCGGCAAAAAAAATAAATTTCAGATTAAAAATGAGCTCATCAGACGAATTAGACGGCGAAAAATCAGTGGAAGCACCGAAAGCAACGAAACGACGTTCAAACTATGACATCTCATTCAAATCTTCCGTTGTGAGCTTTGCCTTAAAGTTCGACATTTCAAAAGCTGCCAAGAACTTTGGAGTTTCAAGATCATGCGTTGGAGTTTCAAGATCAGGCACCCGATGTTTTTTGGAACGCCCCATTCAAATCGAAAATTCGCCAATCATATGAAGAATGGATGACTTATGGATTAAAAACGTATACTAAATCTGGAAACATGCGAGCTCCGCCAATGGATATCTATCTTCAGTGGATTGTCGATGCATGGAAAAGTCTTCCAGATGAATTGATTAAAAAATCATTCAAAGGATGCGCTCTAACAACAGTCCCAGGAGGATCCGAAGATCATTTGATTCACTGTTTCAAGACAAACTCGGAAGTTCCAGGTGGATTGGATGCATTGAAAAAAGCACGCGTGGAACGATCATTGGAGGAGTTGGAAGATCTGATCGAAGAAGTCGACCTCAGTGAGGAAGAATATCAAGGAGATAGTGACTCTTCGCTCATTTTTGATTAAAATTTTGTTGTTTTTTTAATACTTGTTGATCTTTTTGTTGCTTTTTTTCTGATAAAATTTTTGTTGTGTTTGGTTTTTTTCATTGAAAAATAGAACGGCAGCCCCTAATTGAACGTCACCTCTAATAGAGCGACAAGAAAAAAGTCGTTTGAAAAATAGAGCGACATGTCGGTCTATTTGAGGTTTTACGGTAGTTGAGCTCAAACTTTACCGGGCTCTTCTAATACATGTTTTGCGGTAATCTAAAAAAGTTGGCAGGGAAATCGGAAATTACAACAAACATGCAACAATTTTGATACTTAATGTAAAAAACAATTGAGAGTAATTTTAGGATTACCGCGAATTTTTAGAACGATTTGAAAATTTACAAAAAGAAACGAAAACTAAATGAAAATAAATTATAACAACATTTTAAGAAAACTTTCAATTTTAAAATCTAACTATTTGTACTCAACTTTTTCTTAATTTTTTGTGATCATTACTCTTGAAATTATTATTTTTGAGGTTAAAATTTAAAATTTTCTCAAGAGCAGCTCTAAATCTCTTGATTTCAAAAACCAATCGCTTTTCTCAACATCTTTCAGAACGTTATAAACGATTCAATCGGAAAAAAAAACTTTTTTGAAAATTGAAAAAATATGTTTCATATAACGGAAAATATGAAAAACCAGTGGTGGTTATAAGTGACAAAATGTAAAGAAAGAAGATGCAATTTGAAACCAGTTGAGTCTCTCCCAAAGAGCCTTGGAAACGAGAAAACAGAGATTCTTCTATTTCTCTTCCTGTTTCCCAATCTCTATTTTGCTCTCTAAAACTCTTTTTCCACTTCTTCTTCTTCTTCTTCTTCTTCTTCTTCTTCTCCACCATTTATTCTCGAACTAACACCCCGTCCTCGTTTTTACTGCGCTCCCACCGCCCCTATCCAAAACGACCGCCCGCTGTCTTCAGAGAGTCTGGCTTCTCCCAAAGAGCATAACTCGGCAAAAGTGTTGTGCTCTTGATGTGTGTGAGTGTTGTGTGTGTGTGTGTGCATGCACCATCTCACGCTATCACTTCCACAAATATACAAATTTTGAAAAAAGATAGATAGAGAAGAAATTGGGAAACAGGAGAATCAATCAGGAGCGATTTTTTATTTGGAGAGAGGGTGCGAGGAATAAAAAGAAACATGAGAAAATGAGAAAGAAGATTATGAAAATCTGGGTAATAGCAACAAAATGCCGGAGAGATGCGGACAACCATATAAAATCAGGTTTGGAAAAAGTTCTAAAAATTTCAACTTTTCAAGTGAAATGGGATTTGAGCTAGAGGAGAGCTCCAACAAAAAATTTTATGTAATTTTTGCATTAAAATGTTCCCAAAGTCATGTATTTTCAGAATATTACTTCAAAAAAATTTAAACAAATAAAAAAAAATAAAAATCCCCGAAAAACGTTTTCGAAAATACAAGAGCATTCAGTTCTCGTCCAAGTTGTTTTCATGCAATTTTTCAGCCGTTCGTGAGGTCTTCAAGAATTCATTATTCTGTTCATAAAGTTTTCAAATCATTTCTTTTCGGAAAAAACAGAAAAAAAACGACTAGAAATCGCGAAAAATTCTAAAACTGCAGAAAAAAATGCGTGAAAAAACAGCGCACCTAGTGGCCTTAGACTAGGATTTCCGCGGCCCTCTCGGACGAAAACTTGTATTTTCGAGGATCGTGAATTTTTTTAAAAATAATATTATGAAAATAAACGACTTCGGGAACATATTGATGCCAAAAAATTATTAAAAATTTCAATATCGAAGTCCTCTTTCAAGCTGCGAATTTCGAAATTTCAGAACGTTCAGAATTCTTCTAGAGTTCCATTGTTTTGATGGAATTACTATTGATTTAAAATTTTGATCTTTATTTGATCCATTTATTTTCAAAAAAAGGATCTTTTTGATGACACGAAATGATTCATCATTCCCGCCCCTGATGATCATCGACCTTGGGTGGAAATTCAGATGAGTAAAAAAAGGAAAGAGTGACCTCCTTAATTCTTTCTTCTTTCCCCGATTACGTTTTGACGAGGAGAGATAAATGAAGGATGAGGAGGAGGTTATGTTCAAGATGTTGATGTTCTAGAAAGTAACGAGAGCCTAATAGTTAGTGTCAGATGGAGGTCAAATCTAAAGGAGTCGAAAGAAACTGATCCAGCACTGACTGGTCATTTGTAATGTTTGCTAACAAAAATCCATATGTGGGATGATCGGTGTTGGAGGCAAAATGAGGAAGAGATTGAAAGAAGGAAAGGGGGAATATGCACCGACTGTCTGTCAACAATGAGAATCCCATTGTTGTTCTGAACGGCCCGGGAATGAAGAAGAAGGGAAGACACACGCGAATTGAGCAAACTGGACTGTTTGGGAACGACCGAAAAACGCAAATGCTTGTTTTGAGAAGAGAGAGGAATTACGATTTACAGTTTCGAGAAGTCACACCTTGGCGGCAAGAGAGGTATTACAATAAATGGAACATCAGAACAAGTCAGATTCAAGTTTAATTCCAAAACAGAGATTTCTAGAATATCAGGAAAAACTTGGTCCAGACCAAAAAAAACTTTTGTTTTTTGAATGTCAGTGTCTTAAGTAAAACCACACTATATTCTAGTTTTTCAGTGGTCTTGACCTACTGTACCGGTCAATGAGATATACAAAAACTTATTTTTCAGTTGTTTTCGGTTGTTTTGATCATTTTCAGGAGTCTGGAGCTCGGCTGGCAAGCTTCCGATTACTTTGAAAATTGAAAAAATTCACGGAGTTTATTAAAAATTAGTTTTTATTGTCTAATTCTGAAAGACACCTGTTTCCAATTTTTTAGTACAAAAACAGGCCGAAAATAGGGTATCTTTGAAAAATAAGCAAATAGCTGAAAAAATCGGAATTATCAAAAAATTCTGCAAATAAAAAGTTTTTAATCGAGATCTGTTTTACACCCTTCAAAATTTTCGAACGGTTCGGAAACTTGACAGTGGAGCTCAAAACTCCATGGTCAAAATGGCCAAAAATCGACTGAAGTATATGTTTTTCATAACTTATTGGCCGGTACTGTATGTCTACAAATATAATTTCAAAATGTTTGTAAAAATAATTTTCCTGAGAATTAGGAAATTTATTAGTGATCACAGAGATTATTTTGATTAAATGGATAATCAATATGGAACTTCCAGTGTTTTTCAAAAAAAAAAAAAGATTTCCCAAAGACAATGAAGATTCTGATCCTTCTACAGACATACTTCAGTTTTGTAAATTTCCTATAACTCGTTTGTTATTTTTCTGAAAACCAAAATGAAGAAACTGAGGTGGTGGCAAGTCAAAAGAACGACAGCAAAACCTTCCGGACGGAACTGAAGCGGCGGTAAAAGAGAAGGATAGAGATCCCGAGAGACCATACAAATCAGAGAGACGCAGAGACGTTGGTCGAAGTATTGGACACGGGAAGCGGACCGGGAGAGACCTTTTCTCTCCTCCCTCTCTCTCTCTCCACTTCTTTACACTCTCATGATTTTTCAAGTTCTCTCCAATACCATCTTCTATCTATCTTTCTCTCTTTTCCGATTCTCTCTCTCTCTCTCTCTCTCTCTCTCTCTCTCTCTCTCTCTCTCTCTCTCTCTCTCTCTCTCTCTTTCCGTTTTATTTTACAAAACGACGGAGGATGGCGACGGTTACGACGGTGAGGCGCTCGTCTCCTCACCTTTACTCGGATTGTCTAAGTTTCGTTGATTTATGTGATATTTTCATTCCGAATACTACTATAGATGGGAGACTGATGGTATAGGTGTATAGTTAGTGTATACATACATGTATAATGAGGAAGATAGAGAGACAGAGAAATGGGCGGAAAGACCAAAAATGAAGAAAAAATAAACAATTGGGAAAGTTCTGGAAGTTGGCATAAAAAACTATTGGAACATCAAAATGTGTAATTCAAAAGTTCAGAAACTCAAAAAGTCAGAAAGTCGATACATCAAAAAAAGGAAAATCGAAACTAGCCTGTTCTGAATTTCGGAAATTTAGATATTCGAATTGTGAAAAACTTCATATTCCTGAAATTTAATGTCCAGCAGATGAAGGGATTCTATAAAAGTTTAAAACCAATTCTGAAATTTTTTGCCAACTCGGTGAATCAAAATCTCAGAAATTTACTGTAAACACTCTAATATAAGACTATTTTACTTGCACTTTGAGCTAAGTTATCTCAATTTCTATGAAAGATATTGAAAACACTAAAAGCTAAACTAGACAAAGTGGCAAGAGTGGTAGGAGTAGATGGAAGGGTCTACATTGTATCAAAGCAACAAAATGAAATATCTAGAGACTCAGTAAAGACCTGGACATGGTTAACCCAAAGACAATCTGAGATTCTCTATAATCTCAGATGGCCGGAGCCCGCGGTGCCTACTGGGATCAATAGTGAATCTCTAGATAAAACATAATGAGACAGAAATACAATCTAGACAGTTTGAGTACTGTAGACACTAAAAGCCCAACTAGACGAAGCGGTAGGAGTGGATGGAATGATCGGAAGGGCCTAGAGCTGAGTTTTAAATGTTAATTTTTTTTAGGTTCCTACAGATTTTTTTGATTTTTTGAAGTTTCGCTGTTCGCCTAAGATTTTGGATTCAAGTTCTGAATTTCGGAAAAATTGAATTTCTCAACTTCCAGATTCTACAGAGAAACCGGAAACCCGTGCTCCAATAAGGAATTCATTTTATACCTGATACATTATCAGAAAATTAAAGGAAAGCTCGTATTTTTCTTGCATTCTCATGTCTCCCTCAATTTCTGTATGTTCTATTCCTTTTAAAACTTCAATCCCAAAATGAAATTTATCAATTTACTTTTTTAATAGCTTTGACGGGACCTGCAAAAAAAGTGCTCGAAATTATGATTGAGGAGGCCCTTCTACTACAGGTTTTCCAGGATTTGAAAAAAAAAATCAGTAATCAACTACAGGAAGAATGTTTGATTCAATACCAACCGATCGTATTTATACAATGAATGAACGGTCCGTCGACAAGCCGTCTACGGCCCGCCCGCATCGAGAAGGCGGCGATTAGTCGGTGTTCATCCGTCCGCATTTCTTCAGCCAGCATCTAGCAGCTATCCGCCAGTCCCTCTTCGTCTGTGTCATGCGGAAATCCTGAAAAACGTGAACCTACAGTAACCCGAAAAATTACCTGAAAAAACCATTACGTGACCCATATTCACCCAAATAATTCCACAAGACACCATATCACCAGATACCTCTTCGATCCATCCTTTCCGAATACGGTTCCTCTGAATTTCCCCTGCCAGATAATGCATGGGCTCATATTGCTTCTCGCAGTCATAACAACTTCTGCTCTAGTTACAATGAAAATTGAAATGCATGATCCGAATGGAGCATGTAAGAAATATGTCGAGAAAGGATTGGACTATCTAGAAATCAAGTACGCTCGCATTCTGATGTTTGAAAATGCTGATAAAAAACAGCTATCGAGACCGGTAGTGTAGCAAATCAAATTGCTCTTTGAAATTCACTTCTCTTAAACAGATAATCGGGAATCTCGTTTGCAATCCAGACAAATTCAAAGATAATATCTATCACTTCAAATGTGATGGAATAATGGTAATTGTGAAACATATTGTTTTAATTAATGAATTAAACAATTTCAGGCAAGAATACCTAAGAATACCATAGGTCATTCAATCTCTCTCGCAGTGGCTCCGAAGAAACAAATGATGTTGGGACCAATTGATTATCGTTATCAAGAAGAATCGATGAAACTTGTGGAAAACGGATTTCTGGATGTTGATGCACTGAATTCCCAAAGTTTCCAACCCAATCAACACATTTCGGTGAAAAACATCACAATTTATGATCTCAAAGGACCTGGATGGATTCTGTTCGCCTACTTCACAGTCCATTTTTCTTATTTATGTTGTTTCCAGCGATCACGATTTCGATAGTTGTCAAGGGTTCTGGCCGAGACGATTGATTGGAGATCATGGAGTTTATATGTCAGTTCAGTCTAAATCGCTCGGATATGGCTGGCTACGAATGTATTTCGATCCATCTGGTATCGGTGAAGAAATGGTGTGGATCGTTTAGAATTCTTTTTTGTGTTTTGTGTTTCTCAGGCAGAAAAGTTTATCCAATAAATTACTTCAAACAATCACAGATGTTATGAGAGACTATTTCAGATTACAAATATTTTCGGGGGATTATTATATTACTGTGGCGTAGAAGAATGCAGTTTTTAGACATTGAATGAAAACTTGTTAGATAGAATCAGTTGGAGGTTGAGCAAGCACCATATTGTAGAAATGGTCTGCACTCCAGAAGCTAGCCGGTTTCCAAGCACACCATCCCTTCGAAGTAATTGTCTTGATGTCTTCGGATCCGGTGTAATGAGGATCCAGAATCAGGAATCTGAAAGAAGAGTAACTGGTCACTATGAAAAAGTGGCAGGGGAACTCACTTTGTCTCTCCAGTCATCTCGTTGAAATCTACACCTAGAATAGTATGAGCCAACATGTTTCCTCCGATCATCACAGGAGTTCCAGAAGTTTCGAAATGCCGAGCCAACTCACGAGCTCTCTCGACAACCTCTGCTCCTGAATTTGTAGCAATGAAACGGCACTCCAACTCTGTAAAAATTCAGATTTCTTCGCAAAGGAAGAAATTCGAGAGAACATACTGAGCAACTCGTTGAGCACATAACTGATTTCAGTGCTTCCAATCCATTGACGGGATCCCACAAACTTCTGCTCCTTGTCCCCGATATTGACAAGTGCCTGCTGAATATCTCTGTGACTTGGCACCGGCTTATCAGTGTAGCCATTGAGAATGAACCAACTCCAGATGGTTTGGAAACTACGGTAGGCGCATCCCCATCCACTGTCGTCGATTCCGTCTTGCATGTAGTGGTGGTAGTTGTATGGTCCTTTGACAGCTGTCACCACACCAGCTGGTTGATCTGAAAATGTTTTAAAAATTGTGTGAAGTTGAAATTAATTTATTTTGCTTACAATTGGAAATGGAGAGATGTGGTTCACGAATGAGTTTCTTATTGGTTAAACGAACACTTTCCGAGTGAAGAGGGAGCGACTGGGAGAGACGAAGACAAGGTTTCGATGATGGTAGGTTGAAGAGTTTGTGGAGGCGAATACGGTAGTTTCCTAAAATTGGAAATGTTACAGAATGGGGTTCAATGTCAACTAAATATTACTTTTCTCATTTTCAGTCCATTTCGATGGTAACTGAAGATGAAGAAGGGAAACCCATCCTGGTGGAAGATACGTTGCTGAAGTGGTAGTCGTAACACCTCGCTGAAATCATCAATCTTGATTATTATTCTTATAAAATTGTTTTTACCCCTGATCTAATTCCATTCACAGTCACCATCATTGTGTTATTAGCTCTTCTATTCAACGCTTCCCGTGCTCTTTTGTACAAATCGAACGATGAATCTCCAAAATACGCCGGAAAAACAACCTCTCCAATTGTGACGAGCCGAGTGAAGTGTTTGTTATCCTTGGTAACTTTGACAGTCGGAACCAACTTTTGATCTTCGGTATCATTAGAAGTATCCCGAGTGAGAGATTGCATGGCTGTGAACTCAATGACATCTTTGTATGGAAGAGCTCCTTTCGTGAACTTGTCCATGTATTTCTGTTTGGCAGTTTCCGGTTTGTGCTCACGAATCACCAATTCATGTTCGGCATTCAGATAACTGAATCGGAAGGAAGCCATTGAGAGACGTTCGGCAGCAGACTTGACATCCTCTTGTTCACGTCCAGCACGAAGTGACCATTCGAATCCCACCTTGCTCACACAACTGGCTCCCTCCATTGAGATATGGTCGTTGTTAAAAATCACATTCTGATCCAAGAACTCGCTGGTGTTCTTGTTTTCAAGCATTTTCGACGACAATTGGAGAGTAAATGTTCCATTTCCGATTAGTGTGGATTGCCCATCAATGTTTACGTTTCCGACAAGCTCAATGTCTGAATATATAAATGAATAGTTTAACATGATCCGTTTTATCCTACCGGAGGATAATGAGCTTTCCAGAAACTGCAAATTTGACTCCGTTAAGTCTTCAGCATAAGCGAAGAACACGTGGATGACCTGCTTTCGAGCTTTCCGTCCGAATACAACACCACCAATCGTTGTTTGAGTTTCCGTTGAGTTTGATTTGGAGAAAGATCGAAGATTGGCATAGTTCTAGAAAAACTCAATTCGTACTCTCGAAATTCTTCAACTCTTATCACCTGGAACATTGCCTGTGTATCGATAAACCATAGCTCATTCACAGTTGCTGGTGGAGATTGGGGAGCCATCTTAGTGTATCCGATTACAGAAACAGTTTGAGAGCCTGACATGGCAATCTTCAAAAGATAATCAGTTTATGGAGATTTACCAAAATAGAAGAACAAGTTTTACCAAAATAGAAGGAATCGATTCAGTCATTTATGCGACCAGCGAGCTAAACATTAGAGGGTGCTCATAGAAAAGGGGGATGGGGTAAAACAAAAGCAATAATTTAAATCCCATTTACAAAGCACATAGGATGGGCGGTTTGATCGATAATCGGGAAAAAACGAGGATAATAAATATGTATGTTGCATTTGGCCATTAAGCTTATTGGAATACTGCGAAAACGATTGGGAAAAAGAACAAGCTGTGTAATGCAGCCGTACTTCTAATTCCAACTAAACCCTAATTAATCTTAAATATCACATTAACAACGGAGGGAAATCAAGAAAGGAAAATCCAATAAATCATCGAAAAGGAGCGCAGAGAAGGTTTATATTATTCTTGGAAAGTTGTAGAAGAGCCGTCGATCGATGCTGTGTTCTGAAAAGAGACTTGGGTTAAGAGATTATACGCTTCCGGTGGAGAGGGTGCCTCTGTTGTTATAGGCAACGGAGCGAGTGGTGGCACTCGGCAGGTGATACGAAAATAAGAAGAGTGGGGAGAAAGATGTATTGAATTTAAGAACAATTGAGGTAACACTAAAGGCAATTCTTATAATTTCGCTATTGAGGAGAACTAGACTACCAGTTTGCAAACAACAATTGCCAGCGGTATGTCCGGGGTATTGAACTGATCGAAAATGCCTTACCAACGAGACTCAATAAAGGTGCTGACACGATTGAAGATGGCCCGTCCTCCACGATATGCAAGATATCCCAGAGATCCCCAAACGACAATACGAACAGTTGTTCCGAATACCTGAAACAGATTGAATAGCGTTATTTCTTTTTAGAACAAAGATATTGATTTACAATAGTTCCAAGACTTGGTGGAGGAACAACCATCAATGGATCGAAATCGATGTTAGAGTTCCATTTATTGACGATTCCCGGAGTGTGTCCGATTCCAACGACAGAGACAATTGTTAGCGGTTGATAAGGTTGGCCTGTAGTTCCACGGAGCCATTGAGCTCGTTTCTCGATGGCGTTGCGCAGAACAAGCATGTGAAGAGCATGTGTCATGTAGGCATCGCGTTCCTCGACGAAGATTTGTGAGAGTTGCGGGAAATCATCAGCCATCTCAGCAAGAAGTTGCTCGAGAAGATCTTTTTGTTTGCACCTTTCAACCTGTTCAGCAGTGATCTTTTCCCGATGCGAAAAAGCAACATGAAGAAAGAATCTGATTTTTTGCCAGACAGAGAGCGATGCAAGAGCACGCTGAAGAGTGACTTGAATTGGACGATCACCAAGAACAACACGACAATTCTGAAAACTTTTAGTAAATTGTGGTTTCAAATAATTCGGTAAATAGACTACTTACTTCTGTAGCCACTGCAGCGCGATGAGCAGCACGAAACTCTCCTCCAGGCGCCATGGCCAATTCACGAGTCGCATGAGCAGACATTGAGAGAAGGAGGACGTGGAGGATTCCTTGGATAGCTCCGTTCTGAAATTACTATGAACTTAAGAACTGATAAATGATCTTCTTTCTACAAACCTGCTTCATAGTTTGCATAATTTTTTGAGTATTCAGATCTTTGGCTTCGCTCAAAAGTCTAGCCTCATCCATGGAAATAATCGAAATCCGCGACGGACACAATTCGAGCATCACAAAATCGGGTTGAACGGCCCGAATGGTGTTGGAGACGTCTTCCTGTGATTCTTTGGAGAAGTGTGCAGTTCCAACAAGATATACTGTAGAATCGAGCATTGCTTGTTTCCAAGCTTCATCGGTATCATTGAGAACCGGATTATACGGTGGGATGGACAAGTTAGTCGGCCATTTGAGAACAGTTACTGTGTTGACGTTCGGAACAAAGTTCAAATCTCTTTTGCGGCCGAAGTGATACCCTCCACAAACTGGGTTGTTGACAACGGAACCATCTTCCGTGGCTTCGGGAGCTTGCTCCAGCTCATAATCTAGCTCAACGTCATCCCCAACGTGCTCATCAAAGTTCGACGTAGAATCGGCAAGTGAAATGATGGACTGCTCCGCGGTTTCACTGGCTCCACCAACAACTGAAACTACAAGGAATTAGACAGATAATTAAATTCTAAAGGGAATGTTGAATGAGAACTTACGTCCTTTTTTAGAGTTTATAGTCAGAGAACGCATACGGAAGAGATCCTCTTCAGTCAATTGATCCTCAGATGGTGGAGGAACATCGTTCGGGTCTGGGAATTCGGTTCCGTCCGGGTTCAAGTTGGATGACGATTCCGACATCTGTAAAACCTTATTTTCCTGGATAATTTTATGTTTCCTTTTCTGGACGATTTAGATGATGAACACACTGAAAAATTGAAAGGAAACTCCAAATTTGCAAAAATTAAAAAAAACACAAAGTTTCCATTGAGCATGCTTGCCATGTCTGCGTCTCTCTTCGAGTTTTCTCTCTCACTGGAAACCCTGCCGCACTTCAAAAATGCAAGCGCCGCACGGTTGCATTTTTCGTAAATCTACCCAATCACTTTGAGCCGTTTATGGACCATTTCCTCCAATCAATCGATCTCATTATTTTTTTTTTCAATAGATTGAAAATGAGGGCTATTGATTTTTATGTGTCATAACTTCTTCTCTTGCGATTTCTATTGACTAATTGGCCTCTAAAAATTCATTTTAGGATCTGACCTTTTTAATGAAAACATTTATAATAATTTATCAACTTGCATTTCAGAAATGACTACGGGCAATTTACAAGTGGCAATTTATGGATTTACAACACAGACAAGGACATATGAGCCTGCTGGAATATGCTATGAAGTGAGTTTTTGATTTTCCACCAGAATGTTGCTTCAAAGAGTCGAGTTATGCTCAAACTGTCTACTTCCAGACTCGAATTATCCGTGATAAAATTACCCTCGGCCACTGTACTCTTCCGATTTACAAAAACTCTCCTGTTCCTCAACCTGTAAGCGATAATGAGCGAAAGAAATCTTCAGAGGAGCCAGTAGAGATGCGAAAAGAACTGTTCGATCTTGATAATGAGAAATACGAAAAGTATTTGTTGAAGTTGGATCCAAATGACTGCAAAAGCCAAGATCACTACAAGGTTCTCGGTCTTTCAAAACTTAGATGGCAGGCGACATCGGAGGAAATTCGTTTCTGCTGTAAGTATATTAAATTTAGCTGCGAAAGTAATTGGTTTTTGTTTTTCAGATAGACAAAAAGTTCTAAAGCACCACCCCGATAAGAAGAAGCATCGTGGAATTGTTATGGAGTCGGAAGAATATTTTACTTGCATCACAAAAGCTTATGAACAGATCGGAATGTCGGACGCCAAGCGTCAAGCATTCGACTCCGTTGATCACAAATTCAATGATGCCATCCCAAATGACAAATCGATTAATGCAGATAATTTTTACAACGAGCTGGGACCAATTTTCCAATTGAATTCGAGATGGTCCAGTGTTAAGCCAGTTCCTGAGCTGGGAAAAACTGACGCTACTCGCGAAGCCGTTGAGAACTTCTACGATTTCTGGTTCAACTTCCAGTCCTGGAGAGAGTTCTCGTATTTGGATGAAGAAGATAAAGAGAGAGGAGAGGATCGGTATGAACGTCGTGAAATGGAAAAACAGAACAAGGCAGAGCGAGAACGGCGGAGGAAGGAAGAGGCGAAGAGAATCAGAAAGTTGGTCGATATGGCATATGCGAAGGATCCTAGAATTATGAAGTTCAAAAAGGAACAACAAGCTGTAAGTATTTATTCCAATATTCTCATTGTTCTCATGAATCTTTGTTTCAGAAAAAAGACAAGATCAAGGAGGATCGGCAGCGTGCTATTCGCGAGAAGCAAGAAGCCATCGAACGCGAAAAGCGAGAAAAGGAAGAAGCTGAAGCGAAAATCAAAGAGGAGCAAGAAAGAAAAGCAAAGGAAGAGAGGGTTTGTAAACTATATTTTTCTTTTAATCGATTATCAATTGTTTACAGGAAAGAGAAAAGAAGGAGCGCGATATTGCTAAGAAGGCCATGTCCCAACAACGCAAACGGCTGAAGAAGCTCGCTGAAGAGGCGGGACACTGGACCGAGAATCCACGTGATAAACTGACGGAGATGGAGAGAATCGAACGAATTTGCATTGGTTTCTCCGTTGACCAACTGAGAGAACTCTGTGAGAGAGTAGAGTCTCTCAGCCTTGGATCCGATATTCAGCAAGCTTTGACGGATGCGGAACGTCTGAAGAAGGAAGCTGCTGGAGCTAAAGTGACGATAGCTGAAGACAAAAACAAGGAAAACGAGAAGCAAGTTGAAAAAGAAACTTGGACCAGTGAAGAAATTCAACTTCTCGTAAAGGCATCGAACACTTTCCCACCAGGGACCGTTGAGCGTTGGGTTCAAATCGCTGATTACATCAATGAGCATCGTAAAGACTCGCAAGGATTGCCACCGAAGACAGAAAAACAAGTTATCAAGCAATGTAAAGCAGTTCAGACAATGAACGTAAAACTACCGTCTACGACTCAGAATCAACTCGGAACTGCTCTTCCTGATGAAGATGTATGGTCAGCGACTGAGCAGAAAACTCTAGAAGAAGCACTCAAGAAGCATCCAGCAAGTGATCCAGAACGCTGGGAGAAGATCTCAACTGAAGTGGGTACTAAGACCAAAAAAGCTTGTATTCGACGATTCAAATATCTCGTTCAAATGGTTAAAAACAAGAAATAGCTCGTCTCAAAATATCCGTTATTTTACTTCACTGAAAATCTCGTTTGTTGCCAACCCCTTTAAACCTTTTTTTTTCCAATATCATGTTAGTTTTTCTTTTTCTGTTCTCATATTCATCTTCTTTTAGGCTGTTTTGTTTTGCCTCCTCTATTCATATATCCGAATCCTAACTCGTTGTTTTTTCACCTTTTGACCAATTTTCCCCTACGCCTAGTAGTACTTTTTGTGTACTTTTCCCCTCCCTTCCCCCTCATCTTATCTCTGTTTCACCATTATTGTGTGCACTGCTCAATATTCATGTCTCAGCTATAATCATTAGTAGAACGGTGTCATTTCGTTTTGAATTCAAAATAAATTTTAGTCGAAAAATCAGTACAAAATTTATAGAGTCCAAAAAAGGAAGATTAGTAGTGGCGGTGATGATGATGATAACCTTCCATGTAGATAACTTCCGGTTGTGTATAAATGACTGGTGTAGCAGTTGGATACACAATTGGTTGGATGTTGGGGTAGATGGGTTGGACCATTGGCTGAACAACAGGAACCGGTTGGACCATTGGAACAATTTGTGGTTGAGGGATCATCACAGGTGGTGGTGGAGCGGATGCGACAACGACTGGGGTCGGAGCAACAGCAACTGGAAGAACTACTTCGGTTCCACCTCCATTGTGATGTTTGAAGTTTTCGAAGTGAACTTTTCCAACTCGGATATCTCCACGAATAGTCAATGCAACAATTTTCTTGGGACATTTGTGATGGTGATAGTGGCCGATGTGATGTCCATCCACATGTATCTAAAAATAAATCTATTCAACAGGGGATTCCGTTTAGAGTTGGCTTACCGAATATTTTCTATGCTCATTGTGAATTTTCATACAGAATGGCCTTCCGAAAACAACGTTATTATGATGGTGTTCCTCACGATGCCATCTTCCATGATCCAAATGATTGAATACGATCACATTTTGTCCGTAGAGTCCCATTCGTACAGAAATATGCAAAGCCACTCCATTTTTGGTTGGGAATTCGACAGTGAATCCTCTGAAATTGGTTTTTCTTGTTTTCTAAGTCTATATTCTAATAAAATATATCTTACCCTTGTGGTCCTTGAAACACATCTCCGTGAATTTCAACCGATGAATGGGCTTTCATGCCCTCATAGATTGGAGTGGCAAGAGGAATTGGCTGGAAATAAATTGATACATAAATCCATTTGAACCAAAAAACTTACTGGATTCTCAATGATGTGAACCATTTTTCTAGAATATTGATTTGAATTGAATTCGAAATTCGAAGACGAGAAACCGAAGGAAAACTTCTATTAAGACGGTTCGTTATCGATGAAAAAATTGGGGTTTCGAAAGGAGAAATATGGAAGAATGATAAGAAAAGTGACGACATTTTATGTGAATCACCTAAAAAAGGCCAAACGATGTTTGCTTAAAATCGAGCGACGGTCATTCCAGGCACACCTTGAACTGGAAGAAAAAAACGAGAGCAGAGTTTGATTCCGGAGTCTCTGATTCATTGTTTTAAGTGAATTCATATTTATTTAATCTTCAAAACCAAGTGATGAAATCAAATGAAAAAGTTCGCAATCATAATATAAAGCATATATGAATTATGCAGATACGATTTAGTTAATTCGGTTTGTTCTCCCCTTGAAAGACAACCAATGGTGGATGAATCCACCCATCAGCTTCCGTGAAATACTTGCTATCCTTATCCAATGACATTCCGAAGAACTTTGAAATTTCTTCCATACTCGTGACCTCCAACTTCTTCGCAACCACAAAACTGATGCAACTCATGAATTCAGTACATTGGAAGAAGTTGCTCAGCTCAAGAATCACCTTCAACTCATCAAGAGTCTTTGCGTTGGCATCTGCGAAGTTTTCAACTGTTGGTTTGTCGTTTCCAGTTGGCGTGGAATACGGAAGGATGTGATCCAAGAGGAATTCACCAGCCCATTGTGGAAATTTGATCTCAATGCTATCCGAAAGAACAGTATCCTTTGTTTCCCAGTCATCCTGGAAATCAGTATTGTTTTTAAATACCGTAAAACCTGTAATAGTAGGTATCCTTAAAAGTTAAGCTTTGAGCCAATTTATGTCGGTTATGGATTCCTTCTATTAAAGGTTTTACTGTAATTTAATTTGCTGAAAACTCACTCCAAGGCATTCCATAGAATTGACCAATATCGGAATCGCCTTCACAATCTCCTTGTTGGTAAGGACGAATGGCTCTTTTTTATCCAAGAAGAGAAGTGGAACCTCGCATTTCGTCATTGTTGGACTTTGAAAGAAATGTTATTTAGTGAATGGAATCTTAACAGTTTTTCAAAACGAAAATAAGAACAGCAATTGAAAGTTGGAGATGAATTTTAAAAAAGTATTTCGTGCGAAAGAGCCTCGTTCAGAAGACATCGTGGAAAGGCATGGCAACATTCAGAGACGCAGGACAGTAGCGAAACCAGGCCAGGCTATCGACTTTTTAGACAGGAAGAAAAGAAAAAAAAATTAGAAATTGTGGCATACTGGGATCAGATAAATTTTTGAAATTGCAAAGATTAAGGTGAGCCGAATTTATTATATTAGGTTGGTAAGAAAGTAATGCGCATTTTTGATTTATTTTAACCTCACACAAAACTAAAACAAGAGGATATCAATCAGAGGGCTTTTCTTCATAATTTTCGGCCACTTACTGCCAACGCATGAACAAAGTTTCGACGTCTCTCTTGAAGAACTACACCAGCTGTAATTCGAAGTAGTTAGTACCAAACGCGCATTACTTTTTCACCAACATTATATATTCCGTTCAGATTCACATTATGGTTTATCAATCATGTAAATGAAATTTCATAAACCTAAAACAATTTCGCAACCTTTTTTGTCGAATTGCCTGGAGTTGAGGTTGGGCTCCAGCCTAATATGGAAACGCGAAAAAAAAACATCGAAAAGTAGCTCAATCGGAGAATCAGGTGTCAAAAAAAGGTTTCCTTGATTGAGGCAGTGAATCATTAAAACACATGTTGCTCGTAACACAAAAACAAACGTATTGGTTCTCATTCAACACACTAATTGTATGTTCATGGAACACTTTTGAAGCTGGATTCTTATTTAAAAAATTAAAATTTCAATTAATCTGGTGTTGGGCAAAAAAGGATCCATAGAATCCTCAACTGGTTGAATGTGTTTTCTAAAGTTGTACGAAAGTATAGTAGTCAGCAGTAAATCATTCTGTGGCTCGAGGCCGAAAAAGAAATCTACAGTGTTCTGAAAATCAGAGATCACCTTTTAGTTATGAGAACCTATGTTTTGCTTTGCCTTATGAGAATACATACATTTTGACAAGGGAAGGTTTTTTAGACAAAGGTTGAGAATTTGCTCAAAATTTGCATACTTATAGTTTAAGACATGCTCTATACGATGACGAAAAAATTTTTAGCCCGTTCTCACTCCCAGGCCGAAAAACTTTGTCTGAAATTTTGGGCCGATTTCGGTGCGCTGGGGATTTCGGCTTCCCCTTCCGTCCTCTACCAATTCCGCGTTAGAGAAAAATATCGGTTGTGTGGTGTTGTGGTAAGAAGGCGACTCACTAGGATTGACTATGCTGGTTCGAACCCCACTGTGGTAAAATTTTTAAAGCATTTTTTGAAACTAATTTTTCATTCCAAGTTTGCCCCCCTAGGCACTATATGACACTTTTTGATTAATTTCAAAAGGTTTCAAAGAAAAAAAGATTTCATGAGAGTTTGAGGAAAAAGCTAATGTCTTTTCGACCGGTTCTTACATCCTCGTAAAAACGCAAATTTCGGTCACTGAAAGTTGCTCAATTTTGCTCTTTTTGAGGTGGAGTACTGTTAAATCGATCACATAAAAGAATTGAACCTATTTCTATAAGTTGCAGTAAATTTCAAGCGATATTTCAGAAATTAGGGACGGTCAAAGTTCTAACAACAATCAGATTTTGGAGATTTTTTGAGCCCAAAGACAACATTGGGCTGAAAAAATTTGTCAGAATGCTATTTTTATCGTTTCTGAATAATTGGAACGTTTTTTCGCACTTTTCAAAAAATTTTTAAAAAATCATTGGTGATTTTTTTCAAAATTGTTCAAAAAGAATTTTTTTTGAAAATGTTTAAAAGTTACTTTAGAAGATAGAAAAATGTCCAAAAATGAGTTTTGCACTCAAGCAAATCCTGAAAAACTAATTTTTAACCTCGAAAAATGCATGTTTTTGGCCAAAATTTAGTACTGAAAGCACTTTCAGAGGCCATATTTCCGCTCCTTTCGAGAACAGGCTAAAAATTTTTTGGATTCGGATTCAGCATGTTCGAAAGTACCTTTGTACGAATTTCGGGCAAATTCTCAACCGTTGTCTGAAAAACTTTCCCTTGTGAGATGAAAATCATTTATTGGGTGTGTGTTTTTTCATATAATACACATATTCGGGAAAGTCAGACATCTCATTGGTTGTTGGTCAATTTCTGTGTTGGAGCAGCAGAAGGAGATGATGGTCCCTGGAAAAAAGAATATAGTTTCTAGAGATCTTGATTTGAATATTACCTTATTAGATCCCCATCCATAGTAAGCAGTTGGATAAGCAGCAGCTCCATAAGCATAAGCATATGGATATGCAGAAATAGGAGAAGGATAATAGTAAGGAGAGGATACAACTTCTGGAGTGTAGACGACTTGCGATGAAGAAATACAGAAAAGAGCTACAGCCAAAACGATCAAACACTTTTGGAACATTTTTAGATTCTCGGAGAGACCTGGAAAGTGATTTGAAGTTAGAAGAGTTCCCATAATTATACCAAGATTTTCTATTTGAACAACCTCTTGATTCAATAAACTTTACTCTTACCACCTTTTCGGCAAGGATTAAGGAAAGTTTGCGCATGATCTTTTTATAGATTACATTTATAACCATTTACATGATTTCAGGATCTAGAGACAAGGCGACGAAATTAGCTTTCAAGCTATAATAATCTCTCCAGAAGATCAGTATCAAAAACTCATGAGACTACTGTAGTTTAATCGAGCAAATAGTGGAGTACGCAACATTTGAAACAAATAGAACACCCAATAACTGGTTATTTATCTTTAGCAACTTGCAAGCTGTTTGAACTTAAAAAAGAGAAAGCACACAATGAGAATCTATATAAGTGGGAACTCTTCCAACTTCAAATCACTTTCCGAGTCTCTAATCTAAAAATGTTCCAAAAGTGTTTGATCGTTTTGGCTGTTGCTTTTTTCTGTATTTCTTCATCGCAAATCGTCTACACTCCAGAAGTTGTATCCTCTCCTTACTATTATTCTTCTCCGATTTCTGCATATCCATATGCTTATGCTTATGGAGCTGCTGCTTATCCAACTGCTTACTATGGATGGGGATCTAATAAGGTAATATTCAAATCAAGATCTCTAGAAACTATATTCTTTTTTCCAGGGACCATCATCTCCTTCTGCTGCTCCAACACAGAAATTGACCAACAATCAATGAGATGTCTGACTTTCCTGAATATGTGTATTATATGAAACAAAATCACACCCAATAAATGCTTTCCATTTGAAACATTGTATTATCTCACATTTGTTAAGATATCTTCGATGTTCGAAACACTGTGGATTTCTCTTTCTGCTTTGAGCAACATCCATCAGAGTGATTTACTGCTGACTACTACTTTCGTACTACTTCAGACAACACATTCAACTACTTGATGTTTCCATGGATCCCTTTTTGCCTAAAACACTATTCACTTTCTCTCCGAACTTCATTTCAGTTTTAAAAATGCCGTCTCTAGTAAATTTTCTCTGTTTCGCTTTCTGTATTTATCTAGTTGTTGGGCAGGTGCGGGAAATTTTTATTATGTGTAGTCTATTCAGATGTTTAGGAGAAACCACAGATGTTGCTATTCCAAGGATCTGTGAATTCAACTAATCAATGCATTCAAACGAATATCACAAACACTACTGTCTGTACAATCTCATGCGCTAAAAATAAAAGTTGCTTAGTAGATGAGTGTATATATAAAGTTTACTTAAACTCTTATTTCAGCTAACGGTAATGAAACCAAGTCAATGTATTCATTGTAATTACGGAATGGTTTCTTCTCTCACTCGTGGCCCTAGTGAAACATATATCTCTCTGAAAGTGAATATTTCATTTGAATTTTATTTGAAATTTAAGCTTTTCAATTAAGGTCAGTCATGGATTCAAACCCCTGATCAAAAATAATCACAACTACAACTATTACTTTGATTTTTCGATTCTTATCGATCTAGGTGGTTCAATCGATAGGTCTTCCTACGACAAAAATGTTGGTACTTGCCCGGAGGGCACTACTGGTCTGAAAACCTGTGAAACTGGATACGAGATGTTTCTAAGAGGAGAAGTTTGGTATTGTCTCAAGGTTGGCTACTTGCAGATCTCCACTAATGTATATTCTTAGATCATCGTAAATGATTAAATCAAACGGAAGGACAAAAACTATGTGGAAAAGAAGGTGCAGCGTTGAGTGGCCTAGAGACGGATGATGAACATAGTTTTGTGAACGGTAATTAATTTTACAAATGGGATTGGAAAAGTTCAATTTCAGCAAGTGTCCATGTTTTACTGAGATCCAACGAAAAGTCTAAAAATGCTACATGGGGACTTTGGATTTCGGGAACAAAAAAAGATGAATGTGAGAAGGAGAATACCACAGAACCAGGACCTTGTGAAGGAATTAATGTGAAATTCCAAGTTTAAACTTACAAAAAAAACTCATTTTTTCCAGGGATTCGATTTCGAGGACAAAACGCTTCAACAGAAGAATGGATACAAATGGTTTGATGGAGAGCCGAATAACTTGGACAAAAAACAATATTGTATTTATATGATGATTGGTGGGCTAAATATTAAAAAAGGGAAATTGGATGATGCTGGGTAATACTTATATTCTCTTTTTTGGTGTTTTGAAACAAATTTCAGATGTGAGGTTGTAGACGGTTTTTTAAAACGAGCAGTATTATGTGGAAAGGAAGCTACATAAGGAACTTTTCTTTCACGCGATAATTCTCCCTAACTCTGTGGATCCTCGTGGAATTTCAGCTCTCTCCCTGTCTCTCTGAATAAACTAATTAAAATTCTCCAGTTAATTGAATCTTCTAATAAATATGTCCCCTGTTGCTTTCTTTGTTTTTCTATATATTCTGATTACTCCTATTCTTACGATAAATTCGACTTCGAATTCTTCCTTTTTTCCTACCCGGGAAGACGAAGAAGAAATATTCCGTTTGATGTTTGAAGCACAAGATTTGTATAGGCAAAGTTCGATTTTTAAAATTTTTGATTTGACCTGGAAAACCAAATTCAGACAATTATCGGAAGTCAATAAGAGATTTCAACATTGACTGGGAAAATTGTGATGAGAAATATCGGTGGCCAGGTGTGGAATCGCTTTGAAAAGTTCTGCAAACTTCAATTCTTCAGCATGTTGTTTATGGTCGGAAAAGAAGATGTTCCAAAGAACCACTTCAGATTGTGCATATATAAAAGGAGATGTCATTTTAGAGAAGAATGACGATGCATTAATTTTCCAGGTGATCTTCTTCAGAACATTTCTTCAGAAAGCTCTCATCCTTACCTTGTTTTCAGTCCCTACTTGATCTTCGAGAAATCCAAGGAAGTCTCGTTCTCCGAAACACGACGTTCCTAGAATTCGGTCTTCCATCTCTTCAGAAACTAGGGTTTGCTGGTTATACGATGAACGGAAAACGTCAAGACGCTGCTTTGATAATTGAAAACAACCCATACTTGATGCATTTGAGATTGAGAAGAGTGAGTCAAATTGTGAAGCATGAGGATCAGAAGTATGCAATAATCCGAGGGAATCCAAGAATCAAAATCGATGAGAAACAATACGAGATTTTGAAAGTAGCATCTAATGGGAGTACTGATTTTGACCAATTTGAGTTTCCACAAGGTATCCAGTTTCAGAAATTATGGCTTTCAACTAATCTTGAATTTCAGAAATATATGTCCGTCATCTTCTGTATGAGCTCTGGCCGTATTGTTTGTTTGGATTCATGATAATTGTTGTGTTCACACATCATTTTATTATGCTAGAAGTCAACGAAAGTCGTGTTAAGGTTAAATTGAAATTCCCACCTTATAAAATGTTATATTTTTAACAGAAAAAGGAACAGGAGATGATCGATTGTTTAGTGAAAATGAGAGATGCCACTCTAGCTGCCGAGTTGTTGTAAATCAGCTAGCTACAGTAATCTAATCTATTTACGTTTTCAGAATTCAAACTCCGATGGATGTCACTTTAGCGGTTTGTTTGTTTTATTGGTTTCCCTTTCAGAAGTTCATTACAGTTCGACACGGATGTTCTTCATTTATGCACAGACCAAACTGAATTAATCAAAAAGATCGAAAAGCTATTGGATCAGGAGATGGCAGATTTTAAAGATGAGAGTCTGGAAGAAGTTACAGCCAAGTCACCGAAATAATCGTTTGTATTTTTCTGTGCTTATTATGGCAAAAGCTCCAGTTATAAATTGTATTTTTGAATCGTATAATACACATATGAATTTGATTTCGGCAAAAAAAGGACCCATGGAAACATCAAGTGGTTGAAATGTGTTGTCTGAAGTAGTATGAAAGTAGTAGCCAGCAGTAAGTCACACTGATGAATGTTGCTCAAAGCAGAGAAAAAATGTTTTGAACATCCTTCATTAATTATGAGAGTCTAAATTATGCTCTGCCTTACGAAAATAGATTTGAAATGGAAAACATTTATTGGATGTTTGTGTGTGTTTTTTCATATAATACACATATTCGGGAAAGTCAGACATCTCATTGATTGTTGGTCAATTTCTGTGTTGGAGCAGCAGAAGGAGATGATGGTCCCTGGAAAAAAGAATATAGTTTCTAGAGATCTTGATTTGAATATTACCTTATTAGATCCCCATCCATAGTAAGCAGTTGGATAAGCAGCAGCTCCATAAGCATAAGCATATGGATATGCAGAAATCGGAGAAGAATAATAGTAAGGAGAGGATACAACTTCTGGAGTGTAGACGATTTGCGATGAAGAAATACAGAACAGAGCAACAGCCAAAACGATCAAACACTTTTGGAACATTTTTAGATTAGAGACTCGGAAAGTGATTTGAAGTTGGAAGAGTTCCCACTTATATAGATTCTCATTGTGTGCTTTCTCTTTTTTAAGTTCAAACAGCTTGCAAGTTGCTAAAGATAAATAACCAGTTATTGGGTGTTCTATTTGTTTCAAATGTTGCGTACTCCACTATTTGCTCGATTGAACTACAGTAGTCTCATGAGTTTTTGAGACTGATCTTCTAGAAAAATTATGCTGAATCGTAATCTAATTCTATCGCCTTTGCTGTGAATTATAAAAGAATGTTAGCCTTTTTATTAATGTAATCTATAAAAAGATCATGTGCAAACATCTCTTAATCCTTGCCGAGAAGGTGTCAAGAGTAAAGTTTATTGAATCAAGGGAGTCTATACAAATAGAAATCTTTGGTATAAAAATGTTAACTTTTCTTACTCAAATCACTTTCCAGGTCTCTCCGAGAATCTAAAAATGTTCCAAAAGTGTTTGATCGTTTTGGCTGTTGCTTTTTTCTGTATTTCTTCATCGCAAATCGTCTACACTCCAGAAGTTGTATCCTCTCCTTACTATTATTCTTCTCCTATTTCTGCATATCCATATGCTTATGCTTATGGAGCTGCTGCTTATCCAACTGCTTACTATGGATGGGGATCCAATAAGGTAATATTCAAATCAAGATCTTCAGTAATTCCATTTTTTCAGGGGCAATCATCTCCTTCTGCTGCTCCAACACAGAAATTCACCAATAATCAATGAGAGATTTCAATCCAATTCATATGTGTATACAGTACCAACTTAATAAACGTTTGACTGAAATTGTTGCTGTTTTGAGACTCTGTAAAAATCGCTAGAAAAAAAAATTTTAGAATTGTAAACATTTTTATCACGATTAAAGAAAAGGTAAACAAGTAAATATCATAATAATTTTGATTTCCAAAAAACCGGAAAACCTTTTTGGCATGCAATAGAAAAAAACTAGCGGCAAATTGGGAGCAATACAACGAGAAAAGATCTGCGAAAAGCTTTGGAAAGGAGAAAAAGGTGGCAATGAAATAAATAGTACATGAAAAATGCAAAAATCTATTGTTTTTTCTTCTCTTCCTGTTTTTTGGCTGGTTGTCCTCCCCAGATATCAGCGAATGCAAGGGTTCCAGCGAACACGAGCAATGCTCCAACCCAGTGTTGAGCTGAAAAGTGGAAATTATTATTTATCGAGGTTCTGATTGAGTTGAAAATTTACCTGTGAATGGATTTTTGAAATAAACAATCGAAACAATCAGTGAGAGGAATTTACGAAGTGTGACGACAAGTGTGACCGTCAGTGAATCAACACGAGAATTCAGTTGGTAAACATACTTGATGCATCCGTACCTGGAAAAAATTGGATTCGATTTTAGATGAAGCTATTGAACACTCACTGAAGAACACAACTAGCAAACAAGTCAACCCAAAGAGAAGGAACTCCGGGAATCAAAGCATATGGTGCACTTGCGCTAAGCTTGGTTGAAGCTGAGACTATGTCACCGCCCATGACAAGGAAGAATGGGAGAGACACAAAGTGCTGAAAATATATATTTCTTCGTAATTCAACAGATTATGGGATAACCGTAATGAACATTGCCTCATCGGGATGTTTTCCGTATTTCTCGTACATTTGTTGCTGGCAAATAGCCAAGTATGCCGAAGCTAAAAGAGCGAAAGTAAGCATTGCAATTCCAATAGACCACTCTTTATAGTGTTTCGATGCTTCTTCCATCGAAAGCCCTGAATCTCCTTGAGATGACGTGGCAAGTGTGCAGATGACGATTCCAACGGTAATGGCAAATACGGAGATGTACTTGCGAGCCGAGTAACTTTTCCCGACAATAACAACGGAGAGAATCAGTGTGGCAAGAAGGGAACCCTGCAAGCATTCATGGATTTACAACTGCTTTGTGCCTTCTGAGTTGAATATACCGATCTGAAAATAATATGCAATGGAACCGGCACATGGAAATTGAGAGCCTGATTATTGACGACGTTAACGATGAAGAACATGCTTACAGTTTTGAAATAGCCTCTGAAAGATTTAGGAGTGTGTGTAAAATAAGTTTTCGAGATTCTCACTCCAATGGAATTTGATTTTTTACTGTGAAGAATTTCGATGTGAATACGAGTCCAATGGATGAGATGAACAAGAACGTGGAGAACGTCATCAGGTTCATCGCGGCTGGCTCTTGTCTGAAATTAGATTTTTGATATTTTATCGTTTTTTGTATTTTATCTATTTTCCCGTTTTTTGCACTTTGAAGTGTGTCTTGTCTACGAAGTCACAAACATTTTTTTATCAATCTCGTCTTTCATATTTAGTACCCAACCGGTTTTTGAAATGATGATTTTGGTACTTTTGTAGGGTAGTTTGTAGGTTCCAAACTTACTTGGCAATGTTCTCCACAAAAACCATACATCCCATACAGCTACCGAGTACACCGAGAATCGGTGCTGCCGCAGACGCCATGGCTTCTGAAACAACATATTTAACATCATACTTGTGGAAAAGATGGCCGGCCCGCGGGCCGGGCCGGGCCATGGCCGGGCTGAGATTTTTCTGAAAGCGGGCCGGAAAAAATTACACATGGCCGGCCCGCGGGCCGGCCCGCTTTTTGAAAATTTTGAAATTTTCGAGCGAATCATCATTTTTCAAGATGGTTTTTCTTCTTAGTGAATGAAAATCCACACTAGAGGCCGATACTGTCGACAAAAACTGTTTTGAAGTCGTAATTAGAAAAAAAGTTTCATCCTTGGCTTAATGAAGTTTGATTTTTTTTTGCTAAAAATTCAATTAAATTAACTTTTTCGGATGGTTGTATGCATTTAAATTAATATTTGTGCCATTATAAATATTTTGGCACATTCGAAAAATAAAATTATCGAAAAGTTGTCCTAGGCGGGCCGAGCGGGCCGGGCCGGGCCGAAAGTTTTGAGGCAAGCGGGCCGGCCCGGCCATCCACATGTATGTTTAACAGAAGATGAGAAGGAAAATCAGAAAAAAAAAATGTTTGGTAGAACGGGGGTTATACAAAGTCAAATACAATAATTTATGCGATTTTTTCAATGGAGAAAACAAACAAAAAGGCTTCTGAACGGCTTAAATGATCACTGTCTAGGAAGTCAGAAAAGGAATCTTTACACTTGAAAAAAGCAATGAAATTGCACAATGTTTGGTAAGAAAAACCTTCAAACGATTTCATCAAAGACCTTTTTATATGAGAAACTTCTCTTGCATCATTCGAAATATTTGGAAAAAAGGGAACCAATGAAACCCACCACAAACTACAATTGTACTTGTGTCTTTTGTGTGTCGAGAGATGGCGAACAAAAAGTGATTGGAACTGCCAGCGATTGGGGAGGTAAAGAGAATAAAAGTACGGAGAGGCGCAGGGATGAAGAGAAGAAAAGTAATTTGAACGAGGTCATCTGGATGAGAGGAAGTTTCATCTCGATGCATCCCTTCTGGACGGCTTATGGGGTGGATGAGAATATTGAATAAGGAAAATTGTTTATTTTTATAGTGTCTCGCATAGAGTTGGCAACGGG